GAGCGGTCCGCGCAACGAACAACTAAGAGGTACCTCACTTACGTCACGCAGAAGCTTATGAAACTTCTCGTGCGCAGTGGGCAAAAGTTAGGAAATTTAAGACTGACTTATATTTAATAGGCTTTAACTAAATATAAGTTTAACTACTGATTGGCTAATTATGCAAAAATTGGATACGCGTCTCTTTAGAAACGTATCCTTACGTGCGAGCTTAAAATATATTTAATCTCGCTGGTAACTTCTGTTTGAAGCGTCACCATGACGCCCAGTCCCAACTGGCGTCATCCTCGTTGAATGTGAATCCATCCATGGATATCACATGCATGAGGGTGGGTCACATTGGTGTGCCACACCCAAGTGGCAGGCCTAAGGTAACTCGTACCCATTTAGGCCTGCCCGTTAAGTATTCGATACTTAATGAATCGTGTAACTCTTAGTCCGTTACATATGATTCATAGAAGAGAAAGGATAGCCGAGAAAGCCAAACATAACACAGAATCATGATTACTCAATATTCTAGCTTTTACCTCTTCCGGAATCTCGTTCTCGTTCAGCTCTGGATAAGCAGTCTCATCCTCTCCGATAGGATTGAAAAGATCCGAAATCGTCATGGGTTTTTGGTCACGCAGCTGCTCTAGATGGTCTCTCAGCTCCTGCCCAGCTTCGACAATTTCTACCATCTAGATAGGCAAGACACTATTATACACTGTATTTACATATAAAATTTACTATTATACAAGAAAACAAGCTTACGACGTGTGTGGCACACCTTGAGGCTGGGTCCAACTAACAAAGGAGTCAGAGACTTAAGTTCGTTTTAGCAGTCTGAACGTTGGGGCTGGATCTGCCAGGTTTCTTTTTATTATCTAAGTTTTCATGTACATTACACAAAAATCCGATAAGTTTTAACCTCTATTAAGTTGTGGATATTGCCATCCACCGTATATATATATATCTTAATGGAGGGAGCTCTATATATGCAATATAAAAACTTTAACGGTGATGTACTTTAGTTATGATGTTCCAACCGTCGTGTAACCCCGGTACATATGTTCACGTGTAGTTTTGAGCGGTTCAAATGGTCTTTATACAGGGAGTTAAAACTATATGCAAGATCTCTGGGTAGGTGGTAGCCTCAGTTTTCTATCATGACACGATCGTCCCCCTCCTCGCTTTTTCATTTGGCTGGCTCGATACGCCGGTCGGACGTCATGAGGGGCACTCTTCTCAAGACACGTGAAAAGGTCCGTTGACCAAGTCCGAGATACTTTTGTGCGTAGTCACGACCGGGTGGCTGGGTTGCTCACGCACACTCGAAGCATCTCTTTTCAGGGGACAGCAGTGGACGCTTGGATAGGAGTTGTAGAGTCCCAACTAGCCATCATGACGTAAATCCTGACCACTTCCGCGGGGTCAACTTGCTCTGCTTTCTGCCCATCGACCTCGGGTTACAATCGTTTCCAAACTTGCCTAAACGCACCACCGGACGAAAAGTGTCGGACTTGCTACTTACTATACATAACAAACGGGAGAATGGATCTCAACGGGGTCGTCACGGCTGTCCAAGCAGTTCTTTTCATCGTACCGGCATTGGCGCTCAGCGAATGGGTCGACTTATTGGGCTAGATCGTGAACCAACGTGGTGCTGAATACCTCAACGCTTTGTCGACGGCATATCACCTAAAGATATCCTGCGGACCGCTACCCTTTCGAGTCACACGCTGCGCTGCCTCCCAAAAGCGCGCCAGCGAGGAGAAGACATCTTCCCTTTAACCTTGGACCTACTATGAATGGGGCTTCCCATCTTAGGAAAAGGGACCAGTTCCCTGGCTCTCGGAGATCTCTGTTTCTGTCCGTTGCTGGCCGAAGGCGCATTGAGAATTGTTCACGTGTACTTGGCCAGTACCTCCGATCCGTTCAAAAGTGTTAGCCGAGCCGGTATTTGCATTACTTTTATGGCTGTTGCCAGTTAGGAATCGTGTGGTAAGTATTCAGCCCCGTTCTGGAGAGCCAATTACGGTAATTCAGTCTTCGTAAAAGCTTCTTACATTGACTGATCTTGAGAGACTCACTCTCCTCAAACGTCAAGATTTTATTAGCGTCAAACGTGTCAAAGCGAAACCGTCAAAAACCTCGAGCAATTCCTTGAAGCATTTTGAAAGAGAGATCTGCATCCGCATCTCGAGCTTCTGCTAATTCTTAGCACTTCTTTACCATCTTCTTTTATCTTCTTGTCACCTGGTTTTACTTGTTAAGATGCTTCACATGTGAAAAAATTGGTCAGAATCACGCCTTTCCTCGTATAATCGGTCTGCGATATGCAGAATCTTAAATGTATTATGAGTCGATTATATGATCCAATCAGGATCCATCGTTTCGCTAAAACTGTCGTTGTGCTCGTGCCGCTCGGTCCATTAGCGATTGATTCATTCAAGAATTTGCTTCGTACCCGAGACTCATCGAAGAAATTGATCCATGCGTTTCAACATTTTGGTTGCGCCTGTTGTGGCCGCGTTTGTTGCGAGTGTAGCTGTTTTGTCAGTGCGGAAGTTGCTGCTCTCGATGGCTACACCCACGACGGCAAGGAAGTGGTTCGTCGTCTTCGAGAAGATAGAGACGTTCAAGAGGAGAGATTGCTACCTGGGTTCAATTTTTTGAATGAATTAATTTCTAAAATGAAACCTCGTTGGGTCTCTAGATCTGGTTATACTCCAGAGGCTGCAGCATTATATGCTAAATTTCACAAAGGTAAAAAATTGAAAGACTTTTTGAAGACCGAAAAATTAAAGAGACTTCAGAAAGAGGGAGAGATTAAAAAGAAATTTCCTACATCTAAAATGTTAATGGACGCAGAGGACGAGACGGCGCCTTTGCTCCCACGTAAAACTACGTAGAAGGAAGCGTAATTTTCACATTTCATTTCTCTGTATAAGTGTTTTGAAGGATTGTGAGAATACGCTTACTTTTAAGGAAAGTGGGTTGATAGAGAAACGAGGTATTAGTTTGAACAACTAAAGTACGGAGATGTGGACGAAGTTATCAGAGTTATGCAATACGTTGTCAAGAATATGATAAAGGAAAGGAGGAGTCGGAAATAATTGGTCGTCTACTTGGCGTCTGCAATCGGTCTCGTATCTTGCATCTACGTTGTATACCATTCCATGACCAGGAATTTAATGTCACGGGCAGGTGGTTAGAAGCTGTCCATCTTCTCTGATGGTTCCGGCTAATTTGATTGCCAGGAAAGATGGAAGTACAGCTTGCTTGGACTGTTTGAAGGTGTACATGTGTAGGACGCTTTGATCATGGACAGTTGACTTGCTACTAATTGATGAATATACATTCTTTTTTTGCATTTTGTTTGCTTTCAACATGGATGTTACTTGCTTTCACTCCACTTCATACAAAGATTAGAAATACTTTGCCGTGTCTAATGGTCTCGAGTTGCATTCGTTCTACTTGTATATTGTACTATTAGGTGCTGTAGTAGTTTACTGTTTGATAAAGAATACATGCACACGCATTCTTTGTATTTGAAGCAGAGGCTGATCTAGAGGCATCCTTGTCGTGGCTAACTCACATATTTCCATACCGACGAATGAACGGCCTTCTTTCAACTTCACCCTTGCTCAAGTAATGAAGCGTCCCAAGCAGCCGCTTACCATGATTCAAAAAACAATCGTTGAGCCACATTGGTACTGCTTCTTGGGCCTTCAGCTCACGCTTCTAGTTCTCATCACTGATACGTACCAGCTTCTCCCACTTTCTCCTTATTCTTGTGCCAGTCAGTCTTTCTCCACGACTTCGTCCAGTACAGCTTGAAGCTTCGGGTTGGTTGATGGACGATCTCTGACCAAATCCGCAGTCTCAAACTCGAGATCGTTGTTGTCGATACCGTCGCGAGCAATGACCACTTGAGCCGCTTGCTCAAGCAGCTTCTGCTTCTGTACAGCACGCACATTGCAAGAATTCTAATGTCACAGCCTTTGGCAAGGCGACGACAATCTACGTTTGTTTTTGTTCGACGGATCTTCGAGTTTCAAAAATTTGGCGAACAATCGCGCAACTTTGTCGTTGCCAGATCCGAATCCTGTGCTGGACTTGCCGTTCGATCACGACACGACCCCATCTCAGCCTGTGCTGGACTTGCCGTTCGTGGACGTGGCGACCGAGCATTAGACCTTGCTAATCTCGTCGGATTCTCGCTGGATGGTTCATATTGCCCACGAAGTGATCGTTATGAACCATCCAGTTTTTACTGACTTCTTGACATGTAGATATCTGCTGTATCGAGCGTCAAGAATCCATTAGCGTCAAACGTGTCAAATCGGACGGCAAAAGACTCGAGCAATTCCTTGAAGAACTCCGATTGAGCAATGTGCATCCGCATCTCGAGCTCCTCTGTTTCTTAGCGCTACTTCACCATCGTCTTTGATGTTTTCATCGGCTGATTCTGCTCTTTGAGATGCTTTACGTTCTCCAAATGACTTTCTGGGAAGTAGTATTTATTTCATGTTCCAGGAAATTTCCGAGCTCTTGTTGTTAAGAGCAGGTGAGTGTATGTGAAAGTTTTTCTGAAATTATCAAAGACCGATAAAGGCGTGGGCCACACCGTTTTCAAATTTGTAAAACCTGGTCGGCCTTCACTCAGGGTTGAAGTGCCTGTGTGTCAGATCAGGCCAATCTGACTTTCGCGGCTGTGCGATATTGACCAATCATTAATAGAAATGACGATCATTAGGCCAAACAGAACCACCTTTTAATACAGTGATCCCTAAGTCTGTTCTGTATCTAAATAACACTCTATTCACCTCCGTCACACTCTAAATGTTGAGAATCTGGCTCGGTTATCTGATCCGATTAGAAATCATCGACACGCTCCCATGAAATGTCTGTTGTTATGCTCGTGCCACTCGGTATATATAAAATTTATATACCATTACCGATTGATTCATTCAAGAATTTGCGTCGTATCTGAGACTCATTGAAGAAATTGATCCATGCGTTTCAATATCTTTGCTACCCTAGTTGTGGCTGCGTTTGTTGCGAGCTGTAGCAGTTTTGTCAGCGCGGAAATCGCTGCTCTCAATGGCTACACCTACGACGACAAGGAAGTGGTTCGTCATCTTCGAGAAGACAGTGATGTTCAAGAGGAGAGATTCCCTATTTTGGAAAAGTTGAAATCTCCCTTTAAGCCAAAAGCTGCTGCAATTCCAGCCGAAGTGACAAAGTTCAAAGATTTGTCTCAATATATGGGCAAAGGTACTGAAGATAGACTGAAAAAAGCTGGACTGAATGCTGAGCTACTACAAAAAGGTGACAAGGCACAGGTAGAAAAACTTGTCGAGCTGTTTGCTAAAGGCGCCAAGAATGAAAAGGCATTTTGGCTTAAAATGCTCGGATGGGTGGCGGCATCTATTGGTGTTGCCTCTTTCATTTTCGTTCTGATAACGATTATTAAAGGAGGTTCAAAGGGACCTCCATCGACGGCAGCTGTTGGAACAACGACACCTGGCGGTGCTTAGGAGGTCTCAATCTTTTCTCTTTGGGTCACTACCTAATGTGCTAGTAGGTTGGTTGGTTGGAAGTGCGGCTTGCTTGGACTGTTTGGAGGTGTATCCGCGCTCGCGTCTTCATGACCGTGTAGGACTCTTTAGTTATAAACACTTGACCCGATACTAATCACTAATATACATTCTTCTTTGTTTTTTTACTTCACCAACTATACTTTGCAGTGTCTTCGTTCTACTTGTTTATTGTACTGCTTGACATTGGGACATGTCGTCTGGCATTGCACTTGCATTGGTATCATCGATGCCGTCGCAACTTTCTTGGTGGTACTGATCACCAAGAAAGTAGTATTTCTATAGTTACATCCTTGATGAAAGCGCAAAACATTCTAACTCGCTACAGCTTTCTCGTATTTCAACACAATCTTGCGCTTTCCCATGCCAAACAATCTCCACTACCTGGGGATAAAACAAATCCTCAATCATGACTTGTAACATACGTGATGGCAGACCATCGTTGGCTTGGCATCAGTGGAAAAGGACAATACAACTCTCGAAAAGTATCAATAGAATTGTCACTCAGATACAACGGAGACTTGATTTTGAAGCTGGTGGGATGGATGAAGGTGAAGCTTGCAGCAGTAGGGACCATCAGTAGCTCTTAAGCAGCGGCCAAAGTCGTCATTCCGACTTTTCCTGAACCTGAAAAAGATGGAGACGTCTTTGGTTTTTTAATGAAGAACGCTGCCCAAATAACGTAAAGAAGAGCGCCTACACCGAAAAGCATGAAGGTAAACTCGAGCGTTTTCCTGAATAAACTCTTCTTCTGTTTGGCGCCTACGATAGCCAGCTGTGTGAGTTTGTACATCGTCTCAGCGTTGCATTCAATACATCTTCCAAGGCCCATCCATTTGTACCCGTTAGTTGCTTCAATTCTTTTGGTAACAGTTCGAATGAAAGTCTTTGACGCTTCGATACTCTTTGCCGCTGTAGCAGCAGCGATGTCATCCATTCGATCATTAACCATTGTCGAGGGATTCGTTGGTCCTCTAACCTCTTGGATTTAATTGTCTCTGCGAAGACGGTGGACTTTGATGTGGTCGTATGGATGGTCATCTAGTGCATCCGTTTCCACGCTGCCGCAGTGCAGCTGTCCGTTATCCAGACGAAGTTGACTCAATGTGGCCTTCTTCTACATCTCAATCGAAACGATGACTATCTCCAACTGCTTGCCAGTCGATAGCTAGCAGACGACTGCTACATCGGTATTCGTGCATCAGTATCGCTGCTATACATACTCTGCAGATATGACAAACAACTCAACATGAACAGATAGGAAGTATACGAAACAGTGTAATTTTTCTTGAGAAACAACAAGATAAACCAGCACCTACTACCACCACTTCTTCCGTCTATCTGCCTCAACTCGTTACTGTCGAGGTGTTGACAGGACCTCAGAAATTACTCTAAAGATCACTTGTATTATCCTAAAGTTCCCTCGCCTAGCTCTCGGTCGCTGCTTTCTTCATGCAAATAGGTCCTTAAAATTGCTCCGGCGGGACCTCATACCGATCGCTTCAATAGCGTTTGAAGCTGCCCGACGACTCCACTTAACTCGCCATACACAATTAACATATTCATCAACTCTGTACTTGTATTCTTTGCCAAGAACATCGATAAATGTTTTCTTTACTTTACTGTCAGCAATGACGCCAACCTCGTCCATTGAGCGCATGTACGTAGTCTGACCATCGTACCAGATCAGCTACAGATGTTATGCGCCTTCACCTTCTGGGACTCAAAGGAGTATAACACCCGTATGCTAACTCGACTCCTTTTCTCGTGTTGATTTTCACTAGCACGGCAGGATCCGCGGCATCATTCCTTACAATAGATGATACCAGTCCCCTTCGGATATTGGCACTATCCCAATATTGGGATTGAGCTGGCTAGAAGAAGCAACAATATTCTCGTAGGTTCGGCACATTGATCTTTTCCATCCAGACTAGGCATCACTCTCTCAATAGATGCAGACAATCCCCTCTATTTCTTTAGACACTAGGCGGTGCACCTCTCGTAGCAGCTCCTCGTGTCACCCGGGATAGAATTTTGGCTGTGTCACAGAAGCTTTAATGAAAACATGTGTCAATCCTTGCCTGTATGTTTGTCAATAGATGCCAGCATTGCACGTACACTTGTTTTCTACTACTAACTAATACTACTCATTGCACGCAGCAAAGCCGTGGTTCTAATGCTTTCTTAGTCTCGCTCCGTATTCAGCCGATCCCGCGGTGGATGCATCTTCTGAATTTTCACCATCGGGTCGCGACGTAACGCACTGACGACAAACAACAACGAGTCAAGTTAGTTGACCTGACATACAATATATCAATAGCAAGGATATACAGACTCGTGCCTGAGGTCATTGGGGGTTACGAAGATAAATTGCTTCTTGCCGTCCTTTTTGGCGGCCTTCACGAGCAATTGAATAGTCATGTCCCGATTTACCGAGTCCATGAACACGTCAAACTCGTCCATCACTCGGAATGGACACTCAATACTCTCGCCGAGAGCCAGTAACAGTGATACTTGGGTGTAAGACCGCTCTCCACCAGAGAGCTCCTTCATGTCAGTTACCTGCGACGCTCGCGACGCTCCCTTTTCGTTATGTAAAACAGCAATTTCGAGTCGCTGATCGTCATGTCGGAATTTCAATTTGCCTGCAAAATTATTCAGGCACATATACTTATTGAACTCCATCGACGTTCGATGGGCGATGTCCTTCCGCAAAATTTGCCACACTCGTTTGCGTTCCTCCAGCATTGATCGAATACGCTCCAGGTTGTCACAGAATCTGTCAAAGTTCATCTTCTTGCTTTTATACTTGATCTTCTTAGCCTCCATGTCATCTTTTAGCTCCGAAAGGTCCATGCCTTGAAATCGACTACGTTCGTGATCTATTTGACGCTTAATGTCTGTCAACCTTTTGCCGTAATAGTCGTGCGAGTGTGTAACAGCTACTCGCTCACAGTGTTGCTGCGCCTTTTGTCTCTGCTCCTCGCATTCTTCTTGGAGCGCTGCGAGCTCATCTTCCCACCGCAGTACCATTTCACGCAGCGTAGCTGCCTCCCGCTGATACGTCATCTCTTGCACCTTCATTTCGCTCAGATGTTTGTAGATCGCATCAGCATCTTCCTGGTACTCGTTCATCTCAGCAGCAATTTTCTTCTCCGCCACGTCGAGTTCTTCAAGAACATGCAACTGACCCTCCAAGTCTGGATTCGACTTGATAAGAATCTCATTCAGTGCTTGCTCACGACGGTAAAAGCCATTAAGCTCTTCCTCGACGCCCTTTATCTCGTCCTCCAGCACAGAGGTATCCAAAGTATGCTGCTGCAAGTCGTCCGACAATTCTTCCTCAAGACTGCGCAATCCTGCGCGTTTTTGGTTATACCGACGCGACAAGTAGTCAATGCGGTCATTCTGCTGCTTCATTTGGTGCCGAAAGTCTTCGCGGTCGCGTCGCAGTCGAGACTCATCACGACGCAACATTTCCAAATTTCCCTGGAGGTACTCAAGCTTTTGGCCCAACTCCCTGACCTCTCCCTCCACATCCTGGCAAATAATAGAGCTACGAAGGTGGACCTTGTTGGCAATAAATGCCAAATTACCAGAACGAACAATAAATTTATCGCCGCTAGGGAGGTATACTTCCGACACAAATCGCGCCATTCTGAAGTTGCCGCTTGAGCCGCTCAAAACATTCTCCTCGGCTGACTGGCGGTCATCAAAAAGTAGTTTACTCTCCAAGCTGCATACATCGATAAGGGCATTAAACACCTCGTCGTCGTCCACCTCAAGAATGTTGCAAATCGCGTGAGCGGCCAAGCTTCCTTCTGCCAGACGTAAATTTTCGTATCGACGTCCTGCACGCGGCGAAATAATAATGTTGGCTTTGTTTGGTGGGCAACGAACCTGGCGCTTCAGATCGTCCAACAAAGCTTTGTCTTTACCATTGATCACCAAGTAACTTCCCAGCTGGCCCTTCAGTGCAACTTCGATTGCAACGGCAAAGTGCATATATCGCTCAGGAAGCTTAACATTGAGGCCCAAGGGTCCGATAGGTGGAGCAGCAAACCGATGGCGGTTTTGTTGGATAAGCTGCTGTAGTTGCGGAATTCTGTTGCCATACACGGCAAGACTGTCACGCTTTTGCTCTCTGAGCGAATTGATTCGTTGTTGAACCCTACTGGCCTCATTGTCAGCTTCACGCAGTTGACGAAGACAAGTTTCGTGCCGATGCTCCACCTCGTCCAGCTCCTGTGGTCGTGCCTGAGCTCGGTTCTTGGCTTCGTTCACTTCATGCTCCGCCTGTTGCACTTCCCGCCGTGTCACTTCAATACTCTCACGCATTTCACCATTGCGCTGCAAGCGATTATGAAGCATAGCTTCGTGATTTTCACGCTTTTTCTGCAAGTCGTGCTGCAAACGGGCTAGTCGCTGCTTGGCCCGTTGCTTGGATTGAGTCAGATGTTTCAGCTCCGCCTTGCAGTTGTGCAATGGACGCCGGGCTTCACGAATTCTGCTTTTCACTTCCCCTTTTCTTTGACTGTTTTCGCTCATGCACGCATTGACTTCCTCGAGCTTGTCATTCTTATCTTTCTGCTTCCGCTCAAGATTATATACCGCTTCCTTTGTCTCTTCATATTCACACGCAGCATGTTCCGCGTCGCGTTTTATTTTCTTCATCTTCTTCTCCATCTTTGCAACAATAGCTTCTTTCTCACACACAAAAGACCACGCCAATTCTTTCTTGAGCACTTCAAACTCTTCCTCCAGCATTCCAATCTACACATCCACCCCCATAAGAAATAGAGTCAAGCAAAACAACCACCTAGCAAAAAATCAACAGCAACAAAAAAGCCAAGCTACTCACACTTTGCGCCTCTTTCCACTGCTTTTTAGCATCTTTCATAGCCTCTTTCAACGTCGTAATCTTGTTTTTTTCCCTCTTCAACGTCGTCTCTGCAATATTTCTCACCTCTTCATCAATTTTTGAGTACGTTGTCCTCATTTTGTACAAATCGGTCGACTGCAAAAAGAATCGATATTTATCCTGTGGATTGCCCTTTAGAAAAAGTTTTGCATTTTCCTGGTCCAAAATAGCACATGGATTCTCCGTCTGAATGTTCAAATGATCCAGCATTGCATCCAAATCTGTCTTCAGCTTCGATACTAGCAACCCTTTTTCATCTTTAAGTCTGTACTCAGCCGATCCGTCACGACGGATCAGTCTTTCAACCACAATTTTGCGACCAAATTGATCCGGACGAAAAGCATCACTCCCCACTGCATCATTACGTAAAGTAATTCTCACCAAGGCATTACCTTCATGTCCATGACGAATCAAATTCTTGATACTTTTACCTCGATGTGTACTCCGTGCACTGGCCCCGAGACAAATTTGAATGGCAGCAATAATAGCACTTTTTCCACTGCCATTTTCACCAGTAATAAAATTAATGTGTGGACATAACTTAACGCGTAATTTACGGTGACACATAAAATGCTCACAATAAATTTCCTCCACAACGCCCATTTCTGTCTCAATCTGGGCATCCATTTGGGACAAATCGGTACCTGGTGAAGGAGGAAACAATGACGTCTTCATCCGACGTTTAATGCCAACACGGACATTTTCATTGTCGATGTAACCATTTGTGTCCGGGTTTAAAGTGTCCATTTCGTCCTCAGTCTCACTGGTCGTGGACGCCTCTTGACTCTTGTCCGAGTCATGGACACGCGTCGTCTTTTGCACCTTCACACGTGGCCGACGGCTCATTAACATTGACTAATGACAATGTAAAGCTATGGATGAGACTCGTGACGGCGATGGCTTGCTACGAGGTTCTTTACTAAACGCCTGGAGAGTGCAGCGTAATGGGTTTTTTGACAATAAAGGCGAAAAATCCAAGAGTAAAAGCGGTTTTACGATATAAAATCGAATGAACATATAGTAGGTAACTGGTGGTACAAAATTATATACTGTCGGCTATTTTATCGCTATATACAGGGTGAATATATTTGATTGTAAAATAACCAATCATGTGGTGTTTGTGTCTGTGAGTGATAGCAATTATGGTCTGAATCTAGTCCTTTCTATTTGATACGCTAGGACTATTTTAATAGTCACTGTTTGTTACCTATTTACAAAACGCACTCAATATTTTTGGGTTCAACCGATCAGTATCTATAGACCAAGCCATCCATTATCACTAACAAGAAACCCAAAAGTGGAACCCGTGGAAATCCCTAGAAATAGAAAAAATACCATGATGGCTCCACCTGATTCACGATCCTCAGGTTGCAACATACGAGGTGCCACGCCCATTGTAACAGTCGACAGTAAACCTGTCGAAATACCAATGCATACATTAAGCACAATATTAAAAGCCAATGCACTCATGCTGCCAAACGGGAACGCATAGAACGACGTGCCGGCTACGCCCATAAGTAGCAGCGGGATAAAGGCGATGCGGAGCACCGACAGGCTGAACGCCCACTCCATCGTCACTATGCGGTACACTGCAGTCGTACACAAGATGCGACCGATGAAATCGCCGTAATTGTAGCTGCCAATGATGCCTGGAGAACAATACCATGTAGCTGTGAGGTCGTGGGCTTCGTCAGTGAACGGCGGGTACAGATTCCGCGACGCCGCGCAACCAAAACCTGGAAAGACGGAGAGCGACACGAAGAAGACGAGAAACTGCGTGATCGCAGGCACCCGGATGATGCCAAAGATGCGGCTTAGGTTCTTCAGTGTATCACCAACCGATTGGCTTGCCAGCTGCTCTTCCTTGGCCCAGTTTTCGTTGCGATCCATGAGGAATTTGACCGACGGTAAATTCGTCAAGTAGCGGTACAGTAGGACAGCACATATCAGCACAATGACCAATAGACTAAAGAACAGATAAAAGCTCAGTTTCGTGGAGCTGCTGGTCAAGTTCACGCCTCCAACTGCAAGCCGCAGCACTGTGGCCACGGTGATATTGAGAATTCCAGCGCAGGAATTACCAATCTGCACGCCGTTTGTGAATTTCTCGATTGGAAATAGAGCGGCAAATGTGTAGTACGTGGCTTCAGACAGCGAGTTACCAAACCCGATGCAGCCGAAGCAGATGAGGACGAGGATTCCACCGGTCTTCTGACTAGAGAAATTGATGGCACTGAAGACCATGATGAGAATGGCCATGAGCATAAAGATGCAGTAGCCGACATGCACCCGTAGGCGTGGACTATACTTTTTGTCGAGCCCAAAGACCATTTGAAGGCCCTGACCTAAGACCATTGGCCAAGCCGTGCATAGCGTTGTCAAGAAGGAAAAGTCGAGTCCGGAGTCTGGAAACTCGACCGTGTAAAAGTTTTGAGCACTGAGGCACGAGTAAAAGGCCCAAAGCACGGATCCATTGAGAAATATGAGTGACAAGTAGATGAACCGCTCGTTCTTGACCATATCGTCCCAGATCTCGGGTGGCATACCATCACGCTCAATTGTGAGTGGGTCTTCTTGCACGAATTTGTCCGACTTGCTGGGGGAATCCATTGGGGGAAATATAGGGCGACTGGTGAACAAAGTAGTAGAAGAAGCTATAATTATCTTGTCTTCAGACGTTATTCGTATTGTCACAGAATGACGTTATGTTACATAGACCTAAAATGTGGTCAGTAACGTCATTTTTAACATGCATAGATTGAAAGACTGTGATTGTGAGTTTTTTGTGGTGAACGATTTTGGAAGGGGAGTTACAAACCGGCTTTCCTGCCAAAAACGAGCCATTCAGGCGTCTTGGAGCCAATCATTAAGGACTTTTCGCTGCGCGTCACTTTGTCACTCTACTCCAAATTATAAAAGACTAGATTTTGACTACTATTTTGTGCTAAAACGTGGCTTGCGTGTTGCTAAATGTGTCTTTAACTCATTCTAAAAGAACGACAAGTGTAAATGGCTTTAAGTGTATGCTGCAAAAACTTACTTCATCAAGGCGTAAATGGTAGTGACTATCATCACTGCAATTTACTCTTTGTATCTTGCAGCATTAGCCATGTAAAAAAAGAGTACGACTTTGATCAGAAAAGTACGGCTTCAACGGCAATGCTGGCCCTGCTGTAGACAGTGATTCGTTCCATCTTGTCATCTTTGAGCGAAAGATTATCGTATAGAAAACTTGTCCGTCGAGATGGATCTGCCTGCTACCGTCTCACAGATAACTGGTGTCCCCCATTGGTGACTAATCCAACGTACGATACGAAAATTTTGCTTACATTGCGAACGAATGAAGTCGTCGCGGCCCCATCATTTTTTTGCAATAATGTAGAGACGGAGAGTACGGAGCTAGAGCATAAGCTTAACTTCATTCCAAAGGATTTGTCGTGTTTTGCCGTGAGTAGATTTCATCACAATGAGAAATAGGAGAAGAACCACCTTCACCATCAACCACATCGGTGCAACTGCCAGCGTTTCGAGCTGGATAGTTTCATGGTAGAGTACGACCAGAAAACCACTTTGGGTATCGAACAAAGAATTCTCAAAAAGCCTTCTAGTACGCGAGCAAGAACAAGAATCTGGAAGGTCACTGCGTCAACTGAAAGAAGTGAACGGATTGATAAGAAAAAGACGGCCGAAATGAATGATCCCATCGCGATAGAGACTCCATTACCACCATCGGTGCGAAAAACCAACCGAAGTGATGAATCAGCATGACCCTGTGGCTTCAGGTGCTAGCTACAGTGGAGCACCTGCAACAAAAACTAAGCACACTCCGGCAAGACAGCGAAGAAACAATCCAAAAAGGCAGGGTCCGCAGTCGTGCACCCTCCAGCTTGCTGCAACAACGGATCATGAACATTGATAGTCAACATTCTCGTGTCTTCTAGTGCCATACGGTCCGAGTATGTGACGGACCTCAAGAAATAAGTAGCAATCCAAGTGGAGCTCTTACGCCCTAAACGAGAATCATAGGAGAAGTTACACGGCAATTTGTAGTGTCTCCAATGCTGCAAAAGCGGTTGGTAACTTGGCGACAATTTCAAGATGCAGTTTCTTGCCGCACATCCACAGGATTCAACAAGTACATGTAACTCGACAATATTCATGCGAAAGTCGACTTGAAGTCACAGGTGTCTTGACATGTAGATAATCATTTGGAGGAAAGCGCTCGGACTCAAGTCGCTTCTGCTCACTCTAGACAAATGCACCCCTTTCTGAATTATGGGCAAGCTTGGTGTGTTCATGGACGTGGTCAATCGCAATTGACTGTCAAGCTGCTTGTGATAGCTGTTAAGAAGAGAGCAAGAACAATTCCTCTTTGTCAACTTGAACGATCTGAGGTACGTGTCGGCACTAAAGGGTAGTGCTGCTACCAGTCTAGATGTTTTTGTTGCATTCTCTCTGTAGCACGCTGCCGCCATATCAGAGGGTGAGCAAGAGACGACCATCGAAAAGTGAATGTCTGCACCTATTGCAGAATCTTTGATGATATAGTCTCATGCATTCAGATTGAAAAGCGTTTGTGTCGCTAGACAACGGCAGAACGACAAATAGCAGCAGCAGTGGCTTGTCTGGTAGCCAATATGGAGACATGCTTTTTTTCAGCAAGTCAAACGTGTCGTACATCGGTAAGGATGTGCTGCATGCACTGCCACTGAAACTTGTGTCGAATGGGTGAGCATCGGTAATGTTTACACATGCGAGAGCTCACACCAGAGGCTTGCAAATTCTCGCATTAATATGCCATGTTAGAAGGCACAATGAAATCGATCATCATTTGCCAATGGATGCGGCTGACGCAGTGACTGGAATTGAACAACGTCACTATTTCGTCAGCAGCTAATTATCTGCCGGACCAAAGCTTACTTTGAAAACGGGCAGAGCTATGGTGAGACGGAGGCCATCGATGCATTTTTGTCACCATCATTTCCATCTTCAGAGTCGCCCTCAGTCTCGCTGCTACTGTCGAACAGCACGTCCCAGCCTAAACCCCACATGGCTAGCACATCTTCTCGCGCTGTCTTGCGAAAGTGCCGCATCTTCGTACGCAAGTACTGCTGGATTTCGGACCGCAGTGGATCACATGGCTCCACCATGGCCATCGTTAGCGGCTCACGGGTGAACGGGTCGCTACCGGTGCTGCCGCCCTGCTGCGACGATGCCAAGAGATGCCGAGCAATTACGGCACGATCAACAATGTTGCCTGATGGTAAACGCACGGGATCCATCATTAGTGTGCTGAGCAAGGGGTCCAAGTACTGGTCGGGGATGTCTCCCAAGCATGCTTCCATAGCTTCCTGCACATGGATTATCTCGTCGGCTTCCTCCATTGCGCGAACAAATTGTTGTACCCACGAGTCGTCAATATAGAGATACCCCTCTTTCACATCTTCAGCTACTTCATCAGCGCTATCGCCAGAATCGTTCTCTTGTTTTCGCTTCGGGCGCAAAAAACGACATTGACTGACGAATGTTCGAAAGCCGAAACGTCCGTCCTTAGCAAGCGTCGCGATGAAGCGTTTACCAAGCCGCTTTCGTGCCCTGGCTGTATCACTGACAGAAGTGACCGTTGACACAGTCTGCTTCTCCAGAAGGGCGAGGGCGACGACCTCATCCAGTTCGTGTTCTGCTTCTGCCACCATAGTCTGCACCTGTTCCAACTCGTCCTCATCGTTCAGACTAGTCGATCCAAGATAACTCTCTGACTCCATGCGCGTGCATAACGCATTAAGCCCCCAACGCACACGCGTATCCAAGTCACCTACACGGCGTTCCATAATATCGCCACTCGACCACACAATTTTCCAGAACGACGAAGGTGAGCATATGGTCGAGGAAACAGAAGAGTCTAAAGACTTTCGCGTGCTGTGTCCTGCGTAGCGCACCACGAGAACAATCAGATGTGCCAGAAGCAACTTACCATCATCCACCAGTGGCAACGAGAACATCCACTCCTTTCTTTCATGCACATTTGCTAGTGATGCAACCAAAAAGCTGAGAATGCGTGCTGCTTGCTCGACTACCACTGGTTGCAACAATACGTGCTGAAGCGCTGCGGCAGGGGCTACGAATGATCGCGAACGCAAATTAATTTCACCGCTGACGATTGAGGCGAACCACGAAGTCAGTTCCATTGCTTCCAGTAGTAAACGCATTGTCAGACGCAATTGTTTTGCGTTAATAGCTACGTAACCATCGAGCACGTCGCGACGAAAAGGCAGTACAACTATACTTCCGTCCAGATAATTCTCAATGAGCTCATGTATGTGCCGTAGAGTCGTAATCTTATTAGTTGCCTCATCAAAGAGTTTGGCAATATCACCCCATAAACCGCTCACGAGTCCCGTTAACTGCAGAGTGCTGTCATGTCTTGGTTCTGCAAATAAAGACGCCTGCAATATCTCACTTGTGTTCGACGTATTTAGCACCTGCAAGAGGCTCTGGCGTTGACTAGGCATCTGCCAGAGATAGCGCAAAAGCATCGTCACCGATATTCGAGTCGGTAAAAATCCCCACAACATGTGGTCACCACTAGTCGCGGCACTAGAAAAGGCCGACCCATTGTTGCAAGCATTGTAGCGATCCATATCGGAATGAAATTGCAAAAGACCAGGAATCAGCCAGCGTGACAACAATTGATGACGCTTGAATAATGAATCCATCCGCCAAGGTTCTGGGCGATGTTGGACTTGTTGCCCCTTCGAAGCAAATGTCACCAGAGTCGTTAAGGAACGTAGCGCCTCTACACGAAGATGAGGGTTCTTGGTGAACTTTGAGGCCACCACTATTTGTGTAAGCATCACTAGGAGCGGCTCCACAACTTCTGCTACTTCGTCCACCGATGCAGCAACGCCAGGCTTGCCTTTCATCAATTCAGCCACAAGATCACGGTACTCGAACTTTTCGAGCCCCAACAGGTACACGACATCACACAAGTCAAAGAAGAAATGTTCAGGAAGTGCACTAAACATGGACGAGAACTGGGAAAGCGGCTCAGAGAAAGGATCTTGAGACGCAGTCGCAGGCTTAGAATCCTGAGGAGCGGCAGAAGCTGTGTGCAAAAGCCACCGGCATGTTCGAGCATAAAACACCAACCACTCCGCCACATTTGCGCTTGCCAGCAAATGAAGCTCTACCTTCACACACTTTACGCGGATAACCTCCAATCGAGCTTTACTTGCCTTGTAATGGGCTGACTGCTTCAGTGGTTTACGCTGAGAGCCATTTTGCCGCCGTCTCCGGCGTCGTCTTTCTCGTTCGAGCTGCTCTTCATCACAGGCACAAATTGCTTGCAGCTCCTGCACCTCCTTTACCATACTTAGCCACCGTGACAATGTGGTTAGAGGCCCAAAGTGGAGGTACTTGAGGGTCATGTAAAATAACTCGGTGTCACGGGGAAAGCGGAGACGTGGAATAAGGGCGGGTGGATGCAATAAACGTCGAAAGTGCAGTTTTCGAAGCACTTCATCCCAGGGAATAGGTAGACATCGACGCCATGGGTCAGTAACCACAAAGTAAACGTGACCAGGCGCATGCAAATCGTTCGGGTTGCCATTGCTACACTTCTCCTCGCGCGCCAAACATGCAGCACACACGACTCGAGTAGCAAAACAGTTCGCGCACTTGTAAAACACATCGTCTGGCTTGCCACCAGCACCTAAGACGTATCCGCAGTCGGCACATTTCATCTTTGGCGCATCGAATCCTTCAGTGATGCATTCATTCACATTGCTGGAGGCGCTTCTTTGTTTGCTACTTGCCAGCCACTCTGCAGGAAGTGGCTGGAAATGTTTTAGTGCAAACACAGGAATCGGCGATTCAATGCGAAGAAAAATGTGATCCAGATTGTGCAAACTTATTTCAGACTCTGACTCTGACGATGAGTCGGTGGCAGCCTGATGCAAGCGAAAGATTTCGAAACAGTCACTGCACAGATCCATATCGCCACAGAAGGCACACTTGTATCGCACACCATGGAGGTGTGAGAACTCACACTGGTCGCACACTACGCCCTCATGGCAAGACAAACGCGGATAGAACGTGGAAGGTATCTTTTCCACATCATGCTCATCCTGCTCCAGCTGTGAAATATGTGCATTGTGCTTAGTGATACATGTCTCGTCCCGAGCAGTGATTTCACATACTTCAACATTCGATGCGCTATCGTTGGCACCCACATCTTGCGTACAACGCGAGTAGTGAAGCGGGACCTCAGGAAAGCCATTACTTGCATACACACGTACAGGCTCTAGGCTCTGGTGGTAGCTGCTATCGATAACACTTGGATCATGCTGGGCTTTTTCCAGAACAGGAAGCGTGTGAGCGAGCAACATTGTAGTTACATTCACCAGGAACCCGTCTATTCGCTCATGCACGTCGTAATTCAAACGCCTTCGTGGATCTGCCGTCATCAATGTGAGCGCAAGCCAGCTCAGTGTGGCATCCACCACAAGCGGGTGCTGATCATCTGCTAGCAGTGTTCGCATTAAACCCTGTAGTGTATCGCGTAGTTCAGCATAACCATAAGTCCACTGAGCACGTAAGCTGCTTTCAGCAACCGCCGAGCCATTCGCAGCCCGCACAGCTGCGTCCAATTCATTTGTGCCATCAAGCATGGTAGAAGCACGAAGAAATGGACCTAATAACGTACTCAACGACATCGTCCAAGTTCGCATAAACAGCGGGAACCAAGCAGCTGCTGGTCTCCCTGACGAGGGTATTGACGCTGGTGGCGACAACACCAGTGCGATAGCCGCACTTCTATCAGACTTAAGTAAGCTGTGGAATATTTGCACAAACTCGGCAATTCCAAAGAAGTTGTGCGGGTACAGCTCTAGCACCCGTCGACGTAATTCCTGTGCAATCTGACGTACTACAGCAGCACTCGTTTTGTTTTCTAATTGAGGTACAACCAGAGCAAAAAAGTGATCAGTTGTCAGCTTGGTCATATCTGCAATGGGGCTGCTCCGATGATATGCCGTCGTATTCGGGATCCTCGTAAAGCATTCACGACACAAGTTGAAATCACAAGCTGCACAGCGATAGACACACTTCACACGATCCGCTACTGCACCTGTAGTCTGTGTAATACGTTCACAGACCGAGCATTTCCACTCTTTCGATCCTACAAAAGCACATCGTGGTAACGACGGTAGCAATACATGGTCATGGAAAGTATGCCGCATACCAACCTTACATGGCTGTAGCAGCATGTTGACTACTACTACAGCCATCAACTTGGACAATTTTTCCACTGACTCCACCATTATCTTTTCACTTTCAAGAGCCCAGTGTTGTAAAAGTTTGGCAGCAACAAAAGCCACTTGTGTCTCGACACTTTTCAAAACATCCATCACAATCTTTCTCTGTCCTTGATGGGGCTCCCGTCCTTGTTTCGTCTTTGTCCTTTCCCATGTCTTGATTACCAGATCAAGAGCCTGAACATAGTAATCACCAGCTTTCTCCTTCCATAAATCAATGGCAACGTCCTCAAATGTCTCATGTAGAGTCCAAACCCAGCTGTTCCAACATGTCCGTGCAAGAGTCTCAGGTCCCTGTACAAGAGCAATACTTTGTCTCTGAACCTCTTTCCACCACTCACCAGCGTCTACAGCCACCAACTCACCCGCTGAGAAACAAAGCGATGGTGACAACAGATGTACATTCAACACTTGTGCCACTAGCCGCGTTAATGTGTCCAGAAGCTCGAGATATGCGGCGAAATTGACCGAGTCTTGGGGACGACGCCTAGATGACCGAGAGAGCGTCAAAACGACGCGAAAAAACGGATCGAGACGCCCAGAGACAAAGGAGGAGGTCTCGGTAGAGTGAGGATGGTCATTGACATCATGTGAAGCCTGGAAAGACCGCGAGGACGCGTCACGAGTGCACAGGAACATGCGAAGTGGCGACTTGGTGGACTTCTGGCCTAATTTAGAAATGGTCTGTCGTGTCAGATCATTGAATGTCTCTTATTGGACAATTTCTTCCTTTTTTTATTTGGGTCCTTGGTTTCAGAAAAGTTGCTCATTTTTGGCTGCTAGTATATTGGTGCACATAGTATTTGCAAAAATAATTATTATAAATATTTGGACGGACATGTAAGTACATGTACGTACGACCCACCGCCAATCACCCTTGACACGCTTCCAACCGAATCACTTTCCTCACACACGTCATCCCTCCTAACGTTCTTGATTCGTGCATCCGCTCTGCATAGAGTGCACGCTCTTCATTTGATCCTTGCCAATGATCATATCGTAAAGCGTGACATCGGGGCTACCCCATAAACACGGAAGTCCATCATCCACTCTCGGCCTGGTCGCCACATTTGGCGGTCGAGCGTGCGAACGTACGTCTTCATACCGCTGTCGAACGTCGTGTCCTTCTTTACCGTGAACGGCTCCTTCAGGTAGACCGTGCCCTTGCTGGCGGGCTACGATCCGGTTCGCATGGCCGTTGCCTCTGAGCGCATAGAGACGCCCGAGACGATGGTAGCAGCGGTAGCGAGTGCAACAGGGAGAACAAAGGCGTTGATTATGGTAGATAGATCTGCTAGAGTTCCCTCGAGTGTCGGTTAGTCGCTTGTAGGGAAGAGCTTGAATGGAAGAGGCATGACCTGGTGGGTATATAGCACATGATACTCGTCAAGTGAGCGAAACATCATCCATTGTCGTGAATGGGTACAGGTAGTACGTTGCTTACAAACAGCTTTCACATTAAATCTGAGTCCAATTAATGAAATATCTGAGGATATATATTATAGGCAGCAAATCTGAGTCCACTTAAAGTATCTGAGGATAAAAACATCTAAAGTATTTTTTTAATCCTCTTCCAATTTGTAGCCATCTGATCGATTCATAATGGCCCGCAACTTGGCCGACAAGGATCCAGTCTTTCTAGACGTTGATTCCCACGTAGTACCTCATTCTAGTCTTCTTCTTCTTTCGTCTCTCTCTTCTCACTCTCTCGAGTCTCTGGCCAATGCTGCAGCTTCCGAGTTGACTACCATTCCCATACACACTTTCAGGTTGAAAAATGTCGTCGAACAGCCGATTGGAAGCAGCTACGAGGCTTATGCAGCCATGTGTACTATTGTGGCTACATGTGCGCGAGCTGGAGACGTGCAGACGTCTACAGAGCAGCGGTAAAAACGAGTTCATATGATGGTGACAAGACAGTCGAGTCCTCGGTCTAATTGACGACACTATTTACCTGTGTAGACAACAGCTTTACGTTCTTGGGGTCCAAGACAAAGACCTGCAGCTGAGACTCACTCCAGTATTAGCTACTGTAGTGCCTCTTGTAAGGCGTGTGCTGGAAACGACCAGTAAGTAAGTGAAACTCTGTACTTTAAAGAGTACTATCCTCATCAACTTGATGCTACTGTGTTGTTGTGGTGGTGCTTATTCGTTAGACTTTGACTTTGCTCAAGTGGTGGATGTGTCTTGGAGACTGGACTACGTGCTACGTTCAAGTAGCGCCGGAAGTGTCCATGAGCCACTGTACTTTGTGCAGCTGCAATTGCAGTCGCCTCGTGCTGATGATTCAGGACTCCAGACGGTGACGTTTACGTGCTCAGTGGAAGAGCTACGGGTGCTTGTGTATCGTATACAAGAGGCTGCTAACGAGGTGGAAAAGCTTGTGGCAGGAGCGCCCTCGCAGCTCCGAACCAGTGCGTGAGGTAGAGCACGTGAACGAAGGTGTACTGGGAAAGCTACGTATTTTTGTACTAGATCACAAAGCTTTTCGGCATTGTGTCGTTTACTGAAGACATAGTTTTGGCATATATCTGGTAAGTGGCTTTGACGTGATTCCACTTTGACTTGAGCTTGTTGAACAGATCTTGCCGTTCGTTCCCGTCCATGATTCGACGCAGTCGCGCTGTCGTCGTCACAACTACGTCCACCATGATGCGAGGAGGTCGACTTCTCTCCAATCTTATCTGACGTCGTTGTTCTCGACGTCTGAGTGAAGATCGTCGTCCTATCAAGTAGTTTGATCTCATCGTGACCATGGTCCACGGCAAACAAACTTGCCTTGCCTTGCGTTGTGCGATATCTATACTCCACGATCGCACGGTCTCGTTCTTCGACAAGGAGAACTACTAGGCACAATCCTTTAACACGTCGGTATCCTCGTCGTCGATAGACACGCTCCTCTCACCGCACTCGACATCCACTAAATCATTCTTTTCGTTCTTTTCGTAGTAGAGCATTTGTCGGTCTCTTGCTGGTGAGTCCATTGGTTTTTCATCAACGAGCGAGTATTGCACTTTCCTCTGCCCCTTCGATGCTGCTTTTGTTCTCGCGGGCTTCTTGTTGTTTCGTTGGTAACAACACCGAAAGAAGACGATGGCTATTACGAGTAACACGAGTCCTGCCAAAGCTATCATCGCGACGGGGCCTGACCACGAAACGGATGGCAAGATTGACGACAAAAGCGCTGTTTGTTGCACGCTAGTCATTTCTGCTGACGTACTATCACTGGAAGCGACGTTGAAAGTGCTGTTGCGGCGAGTAGCGTTTGATGCTGGAACTGGTTCAGCAGAGCTATAACCACGAATTGCAATAGCTGTGAGAGGGTCGATGTTTCGGATGTGAATGGAGTTCAGGAAAGCTACATCCTTGATTTCATGGCATATTGGAGAGAATTTAAAGGAGTTGCCAGCTTCACCCGACTTTTCTGAAACACCAAAAAACAGCTCACAAGTCCCACAGCGAGGAAGCGGTAGTGCAGTCCATGTCTGTAAACTTGTGTGGTTAGTTTTCTCGAGAGCCGTGTGGAAATGAACCGCTACGTCCGCACATATAGAAAACGAAAGCAAAACAATTAGCGGAGCGCTTCTTCCCAGACAGTAAAATAATGTCACAACGTACCAACTCGGAAGAGATGGCAACTGAACGCATCCCTCACCACTATGTACAATGCCTTGATCTCTTTCTCAATACGGTGAAGATCATCTCCGGAGTAAGGAATTATCAACGTGTGACCCTGCTCAATCAACGACTCCGAGCCGTCTGGTGCCGCTTTGAGCTCTAAATGTACAGCATTGCTGGCGCTTGTTCCGTTCACGAACACGGATGCCACCAGTTCTACAGTTGCGGAGCGCAAACCACTGTTCGAGATCGTTACATTTACAGATATTATTGATAAAGTCGAGCCTCCATCATCGATGGTGCCAAGTTGAACACCATTTACCGCCAACGAATACACAGGACCCGCCATGCGGGATATATACAAGTTTGAGTAATGAAGCTCAGATGATAGTTGGGGAACATCGTCACGAGATGGCCAAAATCCTGGAACGGATTGCGTCTCAAATCCTGGACCAACTTCAGGTGATATAGCGAAAATGCCATGCGCTTGCCACATCCAATCGCTCGTATCTCCATTTACCGTGTACAAATTGCTTTCCTCCCAAGATTGGCCATAGCCAAACCCGTTGAACCGGGCCATTTCTTGAGCCAACGCCACAAAAACTGAATTGTTCGCCTCACTTGGCTTCCCTTTATCCTTGCAAGCGAATGGAAGATTGAAGTACTTGCCGTACGAGTGGTAATTGAGCGCTACACTAAAGTCAGACGTATAACGCTCCACAAGATCACGAACGGCCTTTGTTTCTGGTTCCGAAAAAGCGCTAGGCCCGTTGTAGTCGTCCCCGCACGGGTCATTGTTACTACCCTTAGTGTCGCGCGCGAAGCAGACGCCGTAATTGCGATTCAGATCCACACCTGCATCTTGAGAGCTTTTATCACAAGTCGGCGCTGCACTTTTGCGCAGGCCCGTCTTGTTATGTTCCCAGACGCGCAGCATCTCGTTATGTGCGTATCCATCTGGGTTCACAACCAAAATGAACCAAAGCTGGCGGGAACTTAGCAACTCTATAGCTGCCAAATCTCCATTGCGATAATCTGATGTCAAAATATCTATCGTGTAAACTAAGGTCTGAAAAAAGAGCCGACAAAGAATTAGCTTGAGATTGCAGAGTTCGTGATATCAAGAGTTCAGCTTATACGAAACCTACCATCATGGAGATAGGCTAGACGATTAAGCATTGAGGACAAGGTTGAATCGTGAAAAACTGAACCGACCAAACCCACTCTAGTAAAAATCAAGCAATTACCTCGCGGGCGTGGTGCATGCCTGTGAAAAGCGCTTGTGGGATCTTTTGTTCTTGAGGCGCATAGCACGCGCCGAGACAAACTGCACGTAGTGGCCGTTTTTCAACTGATTGCCCAAGCTCCTCTACTTTTGTGATGAGAGGAAATGCTGCAGCCACTTCATCAATGTATGTCTCCACTTCATCCACTGATAGTGAGCCTTGGATGGATCCAAGGCGCGGAGAAAATGCTGTAGACGCATAATCAAATGGTAAGAAACAACAATACACTCCACAAGCACACTGCGACGTACATTTTTGCGCTCGACAGTTGCTAGAAGTTGAATATCGTGGCGCACACATCGGATCCGACGAGTTGCCAGAATGCAACGACATTCGTTTTACCGCCAGCTTAGCACGAGATCCTGTTACACTCAAGTCGACAACGACTTGGCTGTCGTCGTCAATCATTCTCCTTGCACTCTCATCTTGAATAAATTCTTCCAGCAACAAAATGTCGTCCACATACCAACGCATCCACTCTTTGTCCCACACAAAGTCCACATCATGGAACATGTCGGTTACATCCTACATCAGAGCAACAACAACATCATCAGCCTCAATTGTCACGATCATTTCCGCCTTTGAACTTCACGCACCGAGATACACGGCAGCTGAGCAACCACCGACGTGTTCTGTGACGAGCCCAGAAAAATCTCGTTCTTTTCTGCACCACCAGGTGCCGAGCCGAGAGTCATGGTCACTTTCTCTAGTACTGGAAGTTGTACGTGAAGAGCAGCTTGTCCATCCTATCATCATCATAACAATTCCAACATATTCTTGTTGTCAAAAGGGGATTATGTATGGAATATCAAAGTGATCACCACATGAAAAGTGTCCACCTGTGGCAATTGGATACGCCAGGAAAGTCGGTAAAGAGTGTCATTGGATGATACTGCAATCGAAATTTGTAATGATGAAAAAGTGTCCGTCTGGAATTCAATGGCTCCATTTACAATCGAGATTGCAAGAGGGTCGATATTTGACCATGTGACTTGTTGCTTTGGATATTGATGTTGGAAAGTGGAGATATTCGTAGCACCCGAAGCTTCTGCTTCCCACAGACGCGTGAATTCACATGATCGTGAACGATGAATGTGGACCGTCATCTTGAATCTAAGACTATTTTTTTGGAACTATTATTGGATTCTCGAAATACCTTGGAATAGTAATACATTTAAGGTAGATTACTACTAAACAAAGGGTCTACGAAATGAGTAATTTTTATGTAGACCTGATTCTTAGGTCATTTCAGACCTAATGCTTGTCGTAATCATTATTACGTTCTGTTTAGGATGTTACCAATGCCTTTGTCGTCCTACTTTGCCAACGCGATAGATCGTTTATGAGTCTTCTTTTATCAGGACAATGTCAGACTTAGAGGTATCGAGGAGCCAGTAGCTGTAGAATCTAGTGACACTTTTGGCTATTAGATTGATGCCAAATGGATAGTTGCGATATATATCACTCTTAGATCTTCCTGCGCTGCGCAATAGCGTTGTATCATTCTGTGATGGTCTGCAAAGTGTGTGCACACGATGCAAGCATTTTGGTAGCGTCTGTACAAGACAATCCAGTTATATGAGTCAAAAGAATCTGGATGTCGATGGGAAATGGCTGCATTTACCACATGGTGTCCGTAATCCTTCCTACCCGCTAAAGTAAATTGTATCACTCCATCATGTCCTAAGCTATCCTAATTCTACTCATGAGCAGTCTATGTCACGTTTCATATGTGCATCATACTACCAGGATCATACTACCACCATCATACTACCACCAATACCTAAACCCAGACAATATCATATGGTGTAACAAAAGGGGTCTTCTGATACGGCGGATATTGCTGAACTCATGATTGGTCAACCGTCGTCGCGTACCATTTGAACCAATCATTACACGCAGTTATAAAGAAATCCCGACCTCTCCATCGAAAACCACTTTTAAAATTAATTCGACAGTCCCCAAAAGTTCCTCTCTTTTTTAATTCCCAGTGATAAACATTCATTCCTCAATCATGGCGTCACCTTCCGCTAACACGTTCTCCCAAGCACAAATAGAAATGAAAGTAGACCAAGCATTAGAAATGGCGCAACAGGAACAAGAATTTCGGTCGCGTGTTGAAGCGATTTCTAAGCGAAGACGGCACTCCAACGAGTCGGACGACGTCGAGAGTCACACGAGTCGCGTGTCGCATTATTCTGTCGCCTCAACGCACTCGATACGAGGCTTTGAATGGCTACAAAACCCTATAAAAGGACGGAGTAATCCTCGTATGATCGAATCAAGTACTTTTCGGGAACAATTTGTGGAAAATCGGTGCAGTTTGCCAACGTTAGAGAGCTCTACAGCTGATGGAGTGTCTCATGTACCAGTAGAAACAATTGAAGACGAAAAAAAGCGTCAAAAGAATCGATGGAGGAGCAAAAAAGACCACAAACCATCAACTGGAGCTCGAAATAATGAGAATTACTTTGCTCCTCCGTCACCTGTGGCATCAACAGTTTATTCCAATCGAACAAGGACAAAAAGTGGTATTTCTCATGTCTCCGAGAGGAAAGGAGCTGTTTTAACGGAGGTGGGAGAACCTACTTTTGCTTTTCCAATGTATCAAAAGGAGAAAGTAAAAGGTCGTCGTTTAGGTCTTGGATGGTAAAACGAGGAGACGAGTTTGATGATGAGAGGGAGGAGGAAAACGAGATGGAACATGGAGAGAAAAAGACCAATCCTTTTGATGTTATGCACTTGTTTATCAATGGAACCCCTCATGTGTCGATTGAAGAGACGCAAAAGTATACGTTTGCAATTGTGTTGAAACACACGTCACAGATTTTTCAGCTGTTGAAACGACGATTTCCGTCGCGCTCAGCAGCTTCAATTCGACGAGATTTACCGTATCAGGTGAGTGTTTTACAGCAAAAATGTGTGCGACGACTGATTCAAGCGGGACTCGGAGTGATTCTACTGGATGACGGACTATATAATAATTATTTGAATGATCAACGTGGGATTCGCAGTCATCATGACTTGGAGAGGGAAGAGAACGTTTTAGGCTACACCAGAAACTTGTGCATCTTGATTGATCCTAAGAAAAACCCAGACTTGCTGCTGCATGAGTTTAAGCGTGAATTGGATGAGCTGTCAATCAAGCGTGGCGATTCGCTTGGGCGGCTCGCTGAGGAGTCGCTCGACTCGCTCAAGGAAATGTGTTTCTCGCCGGCACTGGAGCTGCAGCTCACGCACAATATTATCAAGAATGCTTTTAAAGACTACGACAAGGAAGAATGGGTTATCGACGTAAACAAGGAGCTTACGGTTTCGGACATTATTGTGGAGTGTTTCCCTCTGCACGATCGTGCGTTCAACCGAAAGTTTTTTGACGAATATCGCAAACGGACTTTTGAGTTGAATCTGCGCAAAGCTGCGGCGGGTAACAGTGATCGCTGGGCTGTGGAGGAACTTCGTCTCCACTTTGGCGAACGTGTAGCATTTCTTTTTGCGTTCATGCACATTTACACCAAGCATTTATTGCCGCTTATGCTGGGATGTCTGCTCTACTATTTGTATTTTCGCTTTACGTCTACGCCAGTGTGGAAGCAGTACATGGAAGGGTTGGCAGTCATTGGTGTGTTCGTGGTCTGTTTCTGGGGTCCATCTTTTCTCGTATGTTGGGCTCGCGAGACACGTTTGCTTGTGGAGAAATGGAATTTAACGAAGTACAAAAATACCGTGTACGAACGCAATGACGACAATCCTGGTTTTAAGTACATGTGGGTGAAGAATCAGCTCACGCACGAAATGGAAAAGATCCCCAGACAGCGCAAGAATCACTGGATCCAGCTTACCATGCTGCTATTTGTTCTAGTATGTGCCGTGATTCAGTGCATGTGTCTTGTGCCGTTTATCCAGTGGTATGTGTACGCAAAGAACGCCCCCACGTGCGATGCTTGTAAAGGTGACGATGAGGAAAGTTACCCTTGCATCTGGTTTATGACGTGCTTTAACTCGACCACCTCTGCATTGGGCACGGATCGGTGGGTGTATATCCTTACCCAAGGTATCATCCTCGGTCTGCTTATCGATATTTTTTTCTTTGAGCTCTTTAACTGGATGTCGGAGAAGTTTGTGCAGTGGGAGAACTATGCAAAAAAGTCTGATCATGAGAACCGCCTCATCCACCGTCGATTTGTGTTTGTCTGGAGCAACTGGTTTTTCTGGTTCCTTTTCATTTCGTTTGTCTACATGCCGTTTGGTGACACGATCCTGAAGCTTTTTCACACATTTGGTTTTGGCGCGCTGGCACCATATGAGTGGAACCCAACTCTTCTTGCGCTTGAAACGCTATTTGTCACTCCGCTCGTGGTTACACAACTCTTGAACATGGTTCTGGAGACGATCGCACCATATCTGCTGCGCAAGCTTCGTGGCCGCCCATCTATTGGTTGTCGTCAAGCCTCACCCATCACGTTGTGTGTGCGCCACTTTTCGCGGTGTTTCCTCTTCTCGAAGTGCCAGAGGAAGTCCATGCAACCGGAGACTGCTAGCACCATAAATGGCCACATACAGCTTGAAGTTAATGAGAACAGCGGCCCAGTCACCAATTTGACAGCAACTCGTCTGGCACAGTTGGTTCAAAAAGACACGGGTTTTCATGTGAGCGTGATGCCTATGTCCGATGACTCCAACAAATATTCGGCGTATGAGATTTTGGCGGAAGTGAAACTACCGATATTTGATCCGGTTTTGGATTACCTGGATGCTTGCATTCAGTTCTCGTATGTGATGATGTTCACAGTGGTATGGCCGCTGCTGCCACTCCCAGCTTTCTTCAACAACATTTTGGAAGTTCGCGGTGATGCGTTCCGGCTGCTATTTGCAAACCGAAGACCGATGCCACGACGTGATACATCGATCGGTGAGTGGGCCACGGTGCTCGCATACGCTAACATTATCGGTGTGACGGTCGTGTCAGCTTTCGTCGTGGTATACCATTATGGATACTTTCGAACGAATTGCAACTTCACATTCATCAGCGCGAACGTAATTCCATTCGGAACAATTGAGCCTAGTGAGACTGCTGATCCTAGCTCATGCGTGAATGACAGTGAATCGTCGCGTTGGCGCATGTTCCAGATTGTGCTGTTCGTGGTGTTGGAGCACGTGAGTTTCTGCGTCCGATACTTGGTAATGCAGGTCGAGAAGACTCCCGCCTCCATCCGTAGCTCGGGCTACCAGCGGCTGAAACAGATTCAACACCTGACGGCAACTCCAGCCGCCCCACCCTCTCAGCTCGAGTACGTGCAACGTCTACGTGTGTTGTTTGAAAAGTATGACATTGATGGTGACGGTCACCTGGCGGAATCGGAGCTCACCCAGCTTCTAGCTGCCTGGTTGTGTAAGCACCCATCGGAGCTGCTGCCATACTCGGGACTCATTTTCCGCTATATGGACAAGAACAAGTTGGGTAAAGTGCCGTTCTCTACATGCTGCCTGATGATGCAGCATGTGAACCATGATCGATTCTTCTCCTGTTTATTGGGTCTGTACGATCCGCTAAATGGAGCCTATAACGACGAAATTCGCCGTACGTGTGATCCGATCGAGCTGCATCGTGTGCTAAGCGAGGTTTCATCCGAGGTGCAGCGCCGCAGCAACATAAGTCGCACATCTGAGGCTACGGATGTCTCGCGTCTGCGTGATTCTACTTTTTTTTACGTGGATAACTGAATTGGCGGTTTTGTATTTCTAAACATAACATCTCGTTTTATACTGGCTATGTGGTGCGTTTCGCCTACATGATGGCTGCATATGGATACAGCGTTCATCTCGTTTGGAGCGGCTTTGTTGGTATAATCAAAGGAACAAGTTGTGATTAAAAGGCAGCTTTGTGTCCACGTAAGCCTCTTATCGACTACATGCTGAAAAGTAATTGAGAAGTTATGGCAACTGCAAGTGCAAAGAGCACTTCAAGGCCGTGACATTTTGCTCGTCTTGGAACATGAGCTTGGGGCAGTCCGCAAATTAGGATTTACGTTTTGGTAGCACCATGAGATGCATAAAGACGCTATATCACCGAGCACAGTGAAAGGGCATTAGAAAGCCAAATGGAGTTCGTTTCACAATGGTACGGTATGAAGTATTTTTACTTTCCATACATGTTCTCATAAGAACGATCGCACAGAGGCCCAATCTATTGACCAGATTTTGTTTGACAGCAAGATGATCTTGAGGCAATGGTAACGGCCTCGGTAAGGCTATTTATTCTGGCGTTGTTGAGCTCGAATTAAACGCTCATCACTCGAGATGTTTTGCAACCAAGACTTTCCGTGGGCCACAAAGTGATGCTAGCACAGCCATGATACGATCATTTCTAGATTATCAACCTAGCGCTTGCCTGAAATCTCCCGTGTAAACTCGTCATGAACAGGCTGAATAGTGATGCAGTGGCGGCTACGATCCCGACTTTGAAAGTGCTGACAGGAGCCGAAATGATTACGCCGTCTACCCGTTGTCGGTACAAGACTGGTCGTTGCACGAAACCACGGGCAGTAAAAGCGAACGGCACGTTACTTTTACTTTGCGAATACCATCGCAATCAGCAGAATCGGACCAAGAAGCGTAGTGATGTAAAATGCCGCCACAACCGTGCCAAGAAACGCCAGGCTCAACGAGCGATTTTGCAACAGAAACAGCTTCCGGTTGTGCCGGTCGGCGAAGAGCGCAGCACCTTGTCGTGGACTCCGACCACATTACCGCTCGCTTCGATCATCGCACCACATATGGATGAATATGCTGCGCCAAGTCCATTGACCGTGACTGATCCAGAAAAAGTCTTTGAATCAACGAGCCCCACAGCCGCCGACTTCGATGTGTCGTTGGTAAATCGGGTTCCGCGTTGTGTGTCTCCCAATGTTCCGCCAACGATGTGTTTACAGGACATCAACAGCTTTGCTCTGGAGGACATTTGGCTCCTTGAGTACTTTATTCTTTGAAAACGATATGTTTTCAGACTTGACGTTCCCAGTTTTATCTTGCTTGAGGAAGCAACAACAACAACAAGAACAACGAGTTATCTACACCACAAAAAACGTCAGTGGTCAGCTACTGGCATCGTTGTAGTGGTGGCTGGTGGCACCCCTCGACAGTTTTCTACATCCCAATACTTCATTCAACACTAGAAGAACAAGCGTAACTTTATGTCTTTCTTGACAATCATCGGCTCTACGAGCAGGACAGTACACTCGTACTTACTTCCTGCCATTGCGCTGGAGCTGCAATTTCTTACGCAGTTCTCTGGCGGCGCGTGAGAGCGCAGGAGAGAATCCTGACACGGCGTCGAGGCCCGCTACAGGAACATGGTACTCGAAGGACTGCGACACAAACAGGAAGGCCAACAGCATCGCCAGCACGAGGAACGCCATCATATAGTAAATATACTCGAGGTGGCCGTCGTTGAGATCGCTTGTGATCCAAAAGGAAAAGATGCTGTTAAGAGCGCCCGCCACGATAAAGCCCAGCGTGGTTGTGAGCAAGTTAAGAGCTTGGCATACGCTCCGCATGGACTCAGGGACTTCCGAATAGAAGAGATCGTACGACGAAATACTCGTGAGGATCTCGGCCACGCCTACGAGCACGTACTGCGGCGTCTGCCACCACACACTCATCATCGACATGGGCAGGAATTCACCCGCAGCGCTGCAGTTCGAAGAAACACCCTCAACCGTGGGCCTATTCTTCCGGATCTGTTCCGTCCAGCCTGCCGCCAGCATGGCCAACAGAGAAAACACAAGACCAGCACCGATCTTGCGCAGCAGCGACGGATAGATGCCCATCTTAGTCAGCAGCGGGTACAGTAGGCGATCAAACACGGGGATGAAGATGAGAATAACACCCGAGTCGACAACATTGAGCATTGCGGACGAAAGCAGAACACTGTCACTTCCTTGAACTCGCAGATCCATTTGACAGCCCTGGACGACAAAATTGGAGTTCATCTGGCCGTACACGGCCCAGAATATTATGATAATCCCAAGGTACGGCGCTAAACGCATCACCTGCGCCGCATCCTGCACGTCCTGGGATGAAAACGAGCCGCCATTTGCGCGCGATGCCAACCCCAGCCAAGTCGTCGCGGCACCCGAGAAAATGAGTACAAAGGTTCCATACGCCACAGCTCCTGCACCAGCAAGTGCCACTGTCATATGCATAAACGCATCCTGGATGAAATACGATGCCGTCGTAAGTACAATCCCCGGTACAAACGCCAGGCCGCCGCTAAGCACAAGTTTTCCACAAGCTGAACGTGAACCCGCCTCAATCAAGACGAAGAAAAACTTGGTGAGCGCACTACCCCTAGGCGGGACACGACGGTACCGTGTCTTTCCAGCGTAAAAGACCAACACCGCCAATACGAACGTCGCTGACGGAATTGCAAAAGATGCGAAAAATCCATAATCCGCCGAGATGTACGGCGGTAGACCGTTTACGGCCAAGTTCGTGAGCACGCCGTAGCTAAATGTAGCCCCGATATTAATAGCCCAGTAAAACCAGTTAAAGAAGCTGTCTTTCTCTGCTCGCTGACTTGGAATATCAACGTCAAACTGATCAGCTCCCAGCACAACAACATTTGGTTTGATCCCTCCAGCTCCAAAGGCCACCCCTCCAAACAATCCCAGCATAAAGAGCGGCAGTGACGATACAGCCGGCAACGATGCAAATACACAAAGCATCAGTCCTCCAATGTACAGCGAGCAGAAGACAACGATTGTGGAAAAACGGCCGAGGTGTCTGTCCGCCACGTACGCGCCGAACAAGGGCGTGAGGTACGACAGCGATGTGAACGTCGTGTTAAGCTCCGTAGCCAGTACTGTACTGAGACCCAAGTTACGATGGAAGAAGATGGGCAAGGACCCGGATAGACCATAGTAAGCGAGACGTTCACAGAACTCTGTCACGAGAATAAAGGAGCAGACACTCACAATGATGGAGCGGTACTGAGGACGAGAAGTTTCCAACTGCTTTGTCGGAAGAAGTTTTGCTTTCTCCCCATTCTCGTCGTGTAACGCTTTCTTGTCTGAAGGACGCGCCATAGTCACAGGATCAGGTGGAATTCCAATTTTCACGTATCTTGAGCTTTTCACCGCAAATTGAAGAATGATACAACGTGAGACTAGCGACCGTTACTCCAAAAAAATGATGCAATCATTTTGTAACGGTCGAATGCTTTACAAAAACCAAGTGTAAAAACAGAGACGGGACAATCTCGGTGACGCGTCCGACGTAACCAATCTAGGTGACGCGTCTGACGTAACGGCTATGGATACCTTTAGCTCTTTTGCAGGTAGGAAAAGAGACCACGCATCATGACTTTGGCCTCACCAATTGCTTCGCCAGCGATATCACGCGCTGTGCTCGTTACGGCTTTGGCATTGTCCAAGGTTGACAAGGCTAACGTTTGGGCGTGTTGTACAGTGCCCTTGACACGTTTGAGCTTGGACGAAACTCCTAGTAGTCGACGCACATTCGTCAGGAACGACACGGAACCACTGGCATCTGGAAGTAACTGCAGCGACAGTGTGCCATCTTCATGGCCTGAAGCAAGCAGGATCACCGCTTCTTGTGGACCAAAACACGTCGCGGTAACCATTGACCCGGTGGACGAAGGGGAGACGTACTCCTGCACGGTGACAAAGCTAATGAAAATACACGATTCGTTAGTTTTTCATCAAACAAAAGCAAACAAACGACCATCGATGCTTACTTACTCTTCAATGCGACAGATACGGACGATTCCCGAACAAAGAGTGAGAAAAATCAAGTCTCCTTCGGCGGATACGTGCACATCTGATACCTCCTCGGACGAAAGGTGGTGCGACCGGATCAACACACCCGACATATTGAAAATCTGGCAGATACTGGAGACCACAACGTGTTGTAGCGAGTCCTTCTTGTCTGTTTCACAGGTGTTGACTGGATCCGCACTTTTAGAGATACTTGTTATAGCAATTACGTATCCCTTGACGGATAGACGGACCCGAACAAGTTCACCTCTGTCCTCAGCGGGCTCGAACACGAACGCCACTTGTCCCTCGTCGTACAAAAAGTGCACCATTCCAACGGAATGAGAACATGAAGCTACTGCCCCAATGTACGTGCTCACGCAACAATCCACGATAGGCGTCGCGTGCCCACGCAAGATCTCAATTGGACGCGGCGATACCCGCGGCAAGTGGAAAAGCATGTTAGGTTTAAGACGTGAAAGGCGCCATAGTGCGAGCGTTCCATCTTGTGATCCAGATACTAGCAGTTCCTCATCTTCCTGCGAGGTAGGGACGATAATCTGGTTGTGACTATGATAGCTCCAACGATCCAAGCTCAGGCACGTGACAGCAGCGCTATGTCCCACCACACTAGCTTTGCCAATTACGTGGCCGTTGTCTAGATCTAGCAAACGGAAGTGGACAGCACCACTACGCGCGCCTCCAGATACAAGCACACGCCCATTGCAGGAAACAACCACAGGAAATCTGCACGATCGTCTGTGCAGATTGATGCTTTCATCGTGGTGGTGAACGTAGTCAAATACAGGTATCCTTGGAACAAAATCAAACGGGGACTCATCACGGACAAATTCCAGTAACCAAGGGCAATCGCTTGCTAGGTCAGCTTCACATTGTCCCTCGCTGTCCGGCACTAGGTCATTAAATAACGCATCGCTATCACGCTGGGAGTCAGTAATGGATGAAAAGCTGCTTCTATCAGCATCCATCCCCACGCCAGGTTCAACAGAAAACGTCATCGGAGGCACTCCTTGTAGCTTTGGCGAGGCAGACGCAGAGCCTCCAAGCGGCGAAGGTGGCAACAGTGGTGTTGGTTTTGGTACCAGTTTCCAGTAGTAGATCTCAATCACGCCCAGCTCGTTTACACTGACGACGCGGTCCGGAAGAATTTTCAGCAACCTGATGCCACTTTGCGCGATAGGTTTCACGGTAGCTACGGGGCTCCAGTTTTGACGCTTCTCCTGTGCAGTAGGTGAGAAGTCTTGGAAAGCTAGTGACAGCGGCCGAGAAATGTTGCTAAATGGTCCAGTAGAGATACCCTCTCTCCCAGCTAATCCCCCGCTGTGTGGAGGACTGACCCTATCTAAATTTGATGAGCTATTCGGTGCAGAAGACATTGTCTTTCCTGCACTACCCGCGAATGCAGCATGTCGCTTGGGGTGGGGAGCAGCAAAAAGCTGCATGGGGCACTGGCCAAAATGTGCGATTTGCAACTCCATAGATTCTCTCAAGGACGAATCTTCCACTTTATCGAGGTCTACGACACCGTAGTACGTCAGGTAGTAAAACACGTTGTTCGCCTGGAGTGACGCTCGCCCTCGCTGCTTGTAACCAAATATGAGATCGATCCAAGAGTGTAAATGACTAGAGACGTACTCACTTTCGAGAGCCGCACGATGAATGCGTACAAACTCCTCGGGGGTGGTCGCCCACTTCGGCAGCTGAACATCGTCCACTGCTTTTTGGTCATGCCGTTTGCCTAGTGCGTAGCCATTCCTATTGCGCAGAAAAGTACCATCACTGGCGAAGAATTCTGGAGTAAGCTCTTTGACCTCGGACATCTGGGAGTTGCACATGCGCCACGTTTCCTGAATGGAGAAAAACAAGCGGTCGGGCAAATCAAAGGGGCCGCCCTGCATTTTTTTGTGGAGGCTTGCAAAAGGTTCTAGTCGAAAGAGAAAAAACAGCACAACTCCAGCGCAAGTCGAGTAGTGAGAGCCGTAAAGAAACTTGGGGATCACTGGGTCGTCAAAAGAGTGATATCGTTCCCAATATTCCTCCAGCCGCGTCGCGTTCAATGCACCGACAGGTTTGGACAGATCGCGGAAGTTGAGTGGATCGCTTAGATCCAATGTGGTATCTTCATAATTCGAAAGCACCCATGGAAATACCGGATACTGGGTCAGATCATTGAAACTGCGTCCTGCGAACGTGTTTAGCGCCATCAGGTAGTCGAAATTGCTAATCTGCCGGTTTTGCCAGGCCTTGGTAGTAGTCGCTAAGTGTGGAATAATGCGCCCGGGCCACTGCTTGGGAATACTTCGAGGAAGGAAGGAATACAACATCCTTACCAGTTCATTGCGCCGGTGTTTGGTTGTAAGGGGAAAGTCCAAGAAATGAGTACTACCATTGCGGACGAAAATCTCGATTGCCGAGTCACGTAGTCGATAGCGACGGAGGTAAACACCTACAAGATGGGTGTATTTCCATCGCCAACAGCGATGTAGTCCAGGTGCTGCTTCGTCCACACTCGAGCTCAATGGTACAGGGAGAGTAGCGTCATCGAAGTCTGTTGTCCCAGGAACGATACCTCTACCAGTGCTTTGTGCGTTCTCGGGTAGCTCCTGTTGCGGTTCAAAGGCGATGTGTTTACTGCAGAGAGACATGCGGCCAAGGACAACCCCCTCTGAAACTACCCGTCGGCATGTTACGTAGGCATACACTTGATCATCTGGCGCAACACCAATTCCAGCACCAGGGTCCAGCCCCTTCCCCCCTGCCCCAAAAGGACTGTTCCCTTTGATGTGGTAGCACTTGTTGTCGACAAAGTCGACTTGCCTTCATCTCCATCCATGCTGTGTGTCACGGTATCACCCTTGTACTCCTCTAAATGCTCATCGTCTGTAAGAGGGCGAGCTGCTCCCTCGTCATCGTCTCTGTCAGTACTGCCTTTACTAGGAACGTAAGTGTCGGCTAACTCAGACGGCGAGAGAGATTCGTCGGACGTAATATCTCGAATTTCGCCGCCACGCTGTTGCGCGATAACTCGACCAACTCGCTCCAGCAAGTCTACACTGGATGCTGCATTGGAAGAACTTCTTTCACTTCCTTCTGTTTCACCATCAAAGCTACGAAGCATTTCTAAAGGCAAGGCTGGTGCTGATGACTGCCTGTGTTTCCTAAACCCGGACTTCCTTTTCGCTTCAATTTGGTACTCCTCTGCTTCACTTTGATCATCCATAGATCCCTCAGCTGCTAGTGCCAGCATTTTCTTTGAGCTCAATTGCAAATCTACGTCCACTGTACGCCGCATTCGAGAAGGAAATGGTGTTTCATAAAGTCCGAGCCGCCACATAAGCGTATTCTGCAACGCAGTCAGCGTTTCTGGTGCCGCACGTCGCAGCGAATTGTATTGGTTTTGCGAGCGGAAAGTAAGCTCGTGCTTCAGCCACAACTTTTGAGTCCATTCTAGCTTTTGCTTACGCTGGAAGGACAGCGCAGTCATTGCGCGCTGCATTTCTCGAGTCGCTACATCCCGCAAAGTCGCCAGCATCCTATTCTCTTCGACTTCAAGCGCTGCCCAAAGCACCCGCTCACGGTCATCAGCATAATCCACTCTAGCATATTTCTTGTCAGATAGCGAGCCCACACCGGCAGAATCATCAGGTGCATCGCCAGAATTTTGTTGCGGATTCTGCAGGTCCCTCGCAACCGGGAAATATGGTACCATGTCGCTCTGTTCCTCTACCTCATGCAATTCGGTGTCGTTGATTGCTAACGCCAGCGCATCTAATACCACTTCAACTGCTTGTACTTCAGTGAGCTCGCCAAGGTCGTGCACAGATAGTCCCGCAACGCCTAATTCTTCTACAAATGACCCAGATGTGCATATTCGGAGGGTCAGTCCTCTCAACAAGACCAGTAATTCCTCCTTCTTGTGGACGATCAAGGCACGACGAAGATCAACAAGGGCACCGAGAAACATATCACGCGTCGGCACCGATTCGTGCACGCTCAGCGCAGAACCAGCTGTCAACTCTTGCTGAAAATTTTGTGTCAGCACCTCAACTACCCGTTCCATCATGGTTTTGCCATGTACGTATGGGAGTGCATGTTGCAGTATTTGGAGGCCAGGAAAGAGACCTACACGATGTAATTTGTGCGTACTATCGACCAATCGGGCGCATATATCCAACACTGCGTTTAGCAAGAAAAGCTGCGCATCAGACCACGAATATTTTTCTGCTGGCGAGTTCCAGGATGATTTTGCACGTTTTGCAGATAGCGTCTTTAGCGGCAGTATCAACAGCGTTTCATTAACAAGGAACAGCAAATGTTGCACATTATCTGCAAGTGTCCGTGACAAGATTGTTCGGCTCCTCGCCATACGTTGTAGAACAATACCAACCACACGACAAATCCAGTTCAGCGGCTCACGAAATAGTTCGGAATGGTTGACGTGTGGAGCCACTTGAGCTAACGGGGGCAAGGAAGATAGTGAGCTTCCAGTCCCACATTCCGCATCATATTTCACCTGGATCCCTTTTAGAGCCAGCAGCAAATGCGTGAATGATCGCCATCCGTGCGAGTTGCTCATCGCCATGCATAGCAACGACACAATTGTGTCAAGCACTAAATCCTCGCCGGTCTTACTGGAATCAAAACTATATGCACGACCGCAATCATCATCGCTGCTGTCACTGTCGCCATCTGCACTCCCAGTCGACGACTGAACCAGCTCCACACCAACCGAGCACGTCAGCGATAACTCCAAAAGTGCGTCCGCCCAGTTTTTCTTCATCGAGAGAAGTTGCTGCTGAAGATTTTCATCTGTCTTCAGCTTCACATTGATGTCCATGAGGACTTTTTCGCGAAAATGCGGTGTACTTCTACCCAGCAGAATTGGCAGGAACGGCAGAATGCCTTTCAGCGGCAGACTCAATATACCACTGACTCCCTCGTCAAACATATCGGCAACAAGAGTTGAGTTCTTCCCAGGACCAGTTTGACCTTGAACCTCAGCACCAACGTTGGACAGACTTCGCAAAGCTGTCAGACGAATAACAGCAGCTCGCTTTTCCCATGTTAACTGTAGACGCTTACCCACAAATTGGTTGGCTTGCTTTATCCATTCGATTAGCCCGCCGATTCCGGTGCTCATTTCTCCTGTAGCAGTGAAGGTTGACGACACGACCGCAATGCCATCTTCAATTCGAGTCTCCTGCGTCAGTGTTGACTTGTTTGCTGCCACCGGCGCAATGGGAAACAGCATTGAGTCCTTTTTGGAAGGATCGTTCATGATGATACTATGCTGGACACCCAATAGCCACACTGGATCAAAATAGAATTCCATCATAAGCTCCAGAAACCCAACTGAGAAGCTTCCTTGGCCGTTAAGGACCAATCGCAAGTGTTCTTCAAGCCCACACCAAACAGTGCGACCTTCAATTGACTCGAGCCAATCCAGCAAGTAAATGAACAACGGAACACAAGCCATGCGTACGTGAATAGAAACGTCTAAGCCTTCTTTGTGCTCTAATTTGTTGATGTTCGAACCGTTGCTCTCTGAGTCAGTCCGACGATCATGCATTAGATACAGTAGACAATCCATTATACTGGAGCTGACTAATGCAAACCGCATATCCAAAAAGGACACAGCGAGTCTTCGCAGCAACAACAATATGGAAGTGCATACAGCTGCATCGTTGCTCGTCATTAAAAATTTAATCACTGCACGAATATCGCGGACGAGTGAGAATCGAACTTGGATAGAGTGTAAAACACTTTTTTGGGGAGTAAAACCCTTTTCGTCCGGAGCATTCACATCGGAAATTCCAGACGAAGTTGAACCTGCAACCGTCTGGTCACTCCATACAATACTCTCAAGATTGATGCTAAACACACCTCCTTTCCGACCAAGAACTGCCATCGAAGGTGGTGCGGAAGACGAAGATGGAGTGGATGGGGATTGAGACAGGCCAGTCCCGCTCGTGGCAGAACCTCCTCCAGCCCCTGCAGGAGTACTTGCTCGAGCAAACGTTGTTTCCGTTACCTCCTGCTCCAGAACTTCATGAACCTGTGTACTCTGGTTTGTCAAACACACCTCGATCACCTCGACCAGACTTTGAATACTTTGTTGCTTCCAGTGATGCTCCTTGTCGAAAGGTTCGGTCAATTGCTGCGAGTTCTGGCTTGGTTTACTTTCACCAGACGTGTGCGAAGCCTGTGAAACCGAGTAGAAATTCCTTAGAATCTCTAGCATCTTCGAAACAGCCTGCATGTTATTGAACGCTCGTGGGTATTCGCAGGCAAGCCCGTACATTTGATGATTATATATGGACTGGGTCTTAAAATCCGCTTGCATCCACAAACGATAATCCATTAAAACGGCTCGAACTCCCGAAGCGAATAGCGGATTCGTCGCCCAAATAGACACGTGGGAAGGATGGTTGTCACCAACTTCGAGACTCTTTCTCGGCAACGGCATCATCCTGAACAAACTCTTCACCATTTCGACGCAAACGACAAGACTTCCAGGCGTCCATACCACAGAGAGACAATCTTTGTGATGTATCATGACGTGAGAAAGCATGTGAAACACATAGTTTTTTAGCACTTCCTGTTGATTGGCCACATTGTTGATCAACAAACCCTTCATAATCCACAGCAAGTCGACCACCACACTTTCCGTTATAGCTGAAAGGGGACGCGCTCCTTTTTGCGCTGTTGCTTCGTTTCCAGTCGTTCCAGTAGTTTTTAGTTTCGCCGAGATTCTTTCGTAGGCTGTCAAAATGTAGTCAAGGAGTACTGGCAGCGAAGAAACGCCCACTGACCGATACCATGCCGCGCGATAGTCTGGGAAAATCATTTTTTGTGTGTTCTTACCCAGTCTAGCATTTCGCTGTTGAATCTCAGCAGATGCACCCACAGTAGTCTCTAGAGCCAGCCACTTTCCGTTCGTAGTGGGCGTTGTGCCCTCACACAGCCATTCGACTCCAAGATCAGCATAGTCTTCGTTAACAGTGTTTTGCGCGTTAAAAGCGAACACGACTTGCAATTTACAAAGAACCGTAAACGACTCATTTTCTGGGACAGCTAATGGCGTTGACCCTAGCGCACACTCACGAGTACCAGCGACCATTCGGCTTGACTGAGTAGGCACCGCTGCAGCCCAACGATTAAACGAAGACACCATAGGCCCCAACGCGTACATCAACTCAATTGTCTCCTTTGAAAGCTCATCTTGGTACATCGATACACTGGCAATTTTAGCTCTTGCGTTACGACCTCCTCCTATAGTGCATTTCGACGCGGTCACCAGCCCCGACGGATACACAAGTTCTTTCTTAAACTGCAGTTTGTTGTCCACGTAACACGTCACTTTGCTCTTCTTTACGTAATGCAACGAATGCGATATCAGCAGCAAATGCCATCCACCAGGCACCAAGTCAATTTCCTGCTGAATCCTCCTCCACTCGGGAGTATAGGTAGATGATGCTGCAACTGACGCCGATTTTTTAGCATCACCCGCTGTGCTCGGAGCACAGCAACTGACATTCAGCAACAGTCCATGTCCCCCTTTACTGGCATCTTCCGTATACTCCAACGACGCCTCCACTCCCAACGTATTTGATCCGTTCGTGAACCGAAAAAGATTAAACTTGGCGTACAATTCATCCGAAGCGACATTTTGCACTGCAGAAGTTTCTTTCTTGGCCTGAGCGAGAGAAAACTCTACATTTATCCACAGAGCTACAGAATAGCCTCGAAATGCAGCCCAATCTACAATTGGAAGGTGCATCCGACCGTTGTCACGGAAGGAAAAATAGGCCGTGGGAGGCATCACAGTCTCACGTGGCAAAATATATTGTGACTGAGAATCTTGTGGCTCTTCTTCTTGAATCTTACTCTCTTCTTCGGGAGAAAGCAGCAGTTTCTTGGCAAATAATCGGGTCAATTGCTGTATGTCTCGAATTAATTGCTCCCTTTCACTTAACGAGCACTTGGAGTCGTCTACAAAGCAGGCCAACATGGTCTTCTGTATTAACGCATGAGCAGCTTGAAATGGCGATAACTTGCTCAATTTTAACGACTCGAAGACGCCACTTGATTGGTCGTTAGCTCTGTCTTTCTTTGTCTCTTTTACATGCTTGAAAGTGCTTCTATTGGCTTGGAAACTTTGTTTTTCAGGTACTTCCGTCTTCATAACGGAATTCAATACAGAAAATTGTATTTTTCTCAATGGGAAAAGACGCTATGACGCTCACGATTGTGGAAGAGAAAGAGAAGACGATAAGAAAGAAGAAGAGTGTGGTATGGATCACTGGAGGTTCGTAAAGAGAGAGAGAGAAGGAGGACACTAAGGTCGTCCGAGAGCCGAAGGTCGCGAAGTCTCAGAACGAGTTTTTGTGTCGATAGTAAGATATGGTGCTATCATTCGATACGATTTAGCTGAAGTTGAGTATGGAAAAATAGGACATAAAAAGCTGTGACATTAGTTTCAATAATTGATCAATACCATAAATTGGTATGGAATACGTTTTCTCCTTACCCTGTAAGAATTAATAATTACAATAGCTCAAATGATATTCACAAATTTGTGACTTGGATAGACAGATAGATGTATATTTAACAGTGTAATAGTTAGTACACACGCACGGCTGCACCTTTCAGGCTGTTGCTCTGTATGCCTCTCTCTCTCTCTCTCTCTCTCTACCTCGCAACTTTCTCGTCTACACGTCCTGGTAGTCGCTGCATCAACCTCGCGCGATGCCGCGTCCACATGGCTTTAGTCATTGGGATCTTTGCACCTGCCACAATGTTATTGAAAGCATTGGGCGTAGCCAACGCGGGAGGAATCTGGACGGGCGGTATCACCACGCGCCGAAGCTTGGAGAAACTGAACCGTGAGCGGACTTGATGCGAAGAAGACGAGAGCAACAAGTCCTTGAGTCCTTGTGCTTCTTCGGGCAAAGACTCGCGCTTAATGGTCGGAGAGAGCTGCGTTGGGTCGCCGGCGCGTCGAGTGTATAGAATCTTGGCACTAGGAGAACTCACGGGCATGGGCTGAATGGTGTAAAAGCAGGCGGTCTTTCCGTCTGAAGTCTCCTCCAAACACGTGATCTGCGTCTTTAGTATCATTTTGTCAAGTAAGCATTCGTTTTGACGGCCTTTCCAATGTATCGGGAGAGGTATGTGAGGAACATTTTGCAAGAAGATTGGAATGAACCTCAAGGAGGAGCATTATAACAGCAGTTTTCAAAGACCTTATCTATATCTGATGTTTCGTTTATGAAAAACCGTTTTTACTTGGTAAAAGACTTTTAACATGAGCACTGCTATTATCTAAATTTAAAACTAGTGCACTACTAAACTAGGTTATTCTCATGGTAATTTAGAACAACCGTCCGTTTCTAGAACAAAATGTCTTCCGGCGCTAGAAGATTTAATATTTTTGGCCGCTAGGTAAAACAAGTCGCTGTTTATTAAGAAGATACGCGATGACTTTTGCTGTTACTTTGTGGTTCAGCTGAAAACAATGGGGCTAACATTGCAGCACGTAAACGGTAGTTTTTTGTTCATTTGTTCATTAACGAAGCGTGCGTGCTAGATAGACCCTGTAGGTGACTGCAGGAAGGGGGGGGGGCAATTGTGGTGGAAATGTTGACAACAAGTGAAGACTAGCGGGATGATCTCTGTGCACGCACATTGAACGACAATCTACCATCACGTTTTCTACAAGTCGTGTTCGTGGATCTTGATGCCCGGGAATTGGAGGCTGTTTTGGCATGGCATAGCGCAAGATTGTGGTTGAAATACGAAAAGGCTGTAGCGAAGGTAGCATGTCGTCGCCATGCCAAGGCTATATGTTCTGCAATGTGTGTACTGTGTGCTAGTTGTTCGAGCAAGCGGTTCAAGAGATCACGACTCACGACGATTTCGACAACAACGATCTCGAATCTCAGACTGTGGACTTGGTCAGTGATAATCCGTTGACCAAAATGGCTGGATACTATAGACGTTTCATTGTTTGAGCAATGGTGATGTGGTAAAGAAGACTATTTGTTGGTCGGTATCGATAGCCACAGACAAGTATGTCTCAAGATCAGCCACCACGAAATATGTGACGGCATCGGTGATAACAATGCAAGTGAAATGCCGTCTACAACCTGAGCCATTTGAATGTTACTGAAGCACTCGTCGAAAAAACATTAAGTGTACGTACATGTACATTGTATGTAATACATTGTAAGTACACTTTTTACCTGTCCGGACAAATTCAACCCTCAATTATACATTTACAGAATCAGCTGTGCTATAAAAAAGCGGTTTACAGCAAAGACAGTGCTATCAGGGCAACAGTCAATTGACTCAGCCAATCACAACTTAGGACATTCAACGCACATCCAGACAAATGTCTTTTTTCGCGATGTTATAACGTTTAAACGCATATAAACTGTGACGCTAGCAATCAGCAGTACCATGCTAAGTTTCGTTCTAACGTCATAAGTGTCCTTCTTTCTGAGCGTTCAACTAATGCATGATATAGGAAATACTCTAAGGATCTCGATACCGGATGTTGTCGCAGCGATTTTCATGATCCACCACCGTCGAAAGAAGCAGCGCTATGGCTCTTTGTATGTCCAATCCAAAGACCATTCATCGCACGTTTCAACACAGAGCTCTGCAACAACAGCCAAAGACGTCGACGTCGACGCCGGTGTATCGGCGATTGCCAGCTAACGTTGAAAAGTTGGTCGCTCATTTTGTGCCACTGAGGTTCTGCGCGTTGCAATATCATTCCAGTATGAGACGCATCACATGCATATCATGGCGTTTGTACTTTTTTCTCAATGCAGCTGCTACTGTCCATTGTCTCGTGTTTTCCAGTACTTCGCATATGAGTTTTCATGTTTGGCCAATTTCTTCGCAAGCTTCTTACGTTGACTTTTCTTGAGAGACTCGCCATCCTCGAGCGTTGGGAATCCATTGGCATCAAACGTGTCAAATCGACCGGCAAACTCTGGTGATTCCTTGAAAAACTCTGAGGGAGGGATCTGCATAAGCATCTCGAGCTCCTGCTGTTTCTTCCTTAATCTTAGCGCTACCTCATCATCTTCGTTCATTGTCTTGTCAACTGGTTCTGCTCTTTGAGATGCTTCACGTTCTGCAAGCGAGAGTAATTTAAACACGGAGCTTCCTGGTCCAAGGTCCTCGATTTGGATACCTAACTGAGGCAGCTCCTCGTTGCGCAAGGAGTCACATAAGGCGAGGACGCGAGTGTTGCTCAAATCCTTAGGGTCGCGCAGAGCTTCTTCTCGCACTGCAGCACGAAATTTGAGCAAAGAACGAAGCAGAGCCTCCTGTTCGTCCCTGCTAACTAAATTATCACTTTCATTCAGCTGTTTGTGACCCAAAAGAGCGAATCGACGGCACATCATGGCTGAAAACTCGGCATGAAGTCCCTCCAGTCCAAAGAGGTCCAGCACCTCAAGCACGTAATCAGTCAATGCGATCAGCACCTCATTTGGAGCCTCCGTATCGCCTCTGTGCGTCAACAAGTATGTGTTTCCGCGTGATACCAGGTCCAATATAAGTAATAGCGCACGTGGCGTGTCTAAATCGTCTAATAAAACTTTGTCCACCTGCGCTTGGGTCATGAACAGTGCGTCCAACATTTCCAGGTCTTTTTTCTCACAGCGTTTTGACTTGACAGCATTGCTGCTAGAAATGTCACGATCACCGCCGTACGCCACAACACTTCGAAAAAAACCTCTCAGACGATCTGCCACTACTACTGCATCTCGTATTCGATCCTCCGAGTAGATCAAGTTTGTGCGGTATTTGAACTGCAGACAAAATAGGCGAAAATGATCCGCTGTGTGCCCATCTTCCAAGAAATCCTTCACCGAGATAAAGTTCTTCAGCGACTTGGACATTTTCCTTCCGCGAATATACAAGTGTCCAAAGTGCACAAAATGTTTGCACCACTCTTTATCATGCCCACATTGAACTCCATGATTGTGCGCTTCACACTGTGCGATCTCATTGTTGTGGTGTGGAAATCGCAGATCCACTCCACCCGTGTGCACATCCAATTTATCCCCGAGCACATGATGTGTCATTGCCGAGCATTCAATATGCCACCCAGGTCTTCCCATTCCCCACGGGGATTGCCACGCCGGTTCATCTGGCTCCTTCGCCGCTTTCCACAGCGCAAAATCTCTCGGGTCTTTCTTTACTTTTTCCTCTTCTTCCACAGCTTGACTCTCCTCCACTGCCGCCACCGCTTCAGCCTGCATCTCTGCATTCTCCAACGTCTGCCGTCTCGGGTCCAGTTTGCCGTATCTTTTGCCCAATTTTTGGGTACTAAAGTACACTCCGGAGCCGTCCGTCGCCTCGTATGCAAATCCTTTTTTCTGAATTTCCTCAATGTATTTCACAATTTCTGGTAGATGTTCACTGACTCTGGTGATGACCGTTGGAGGCTTGATATAAAGCTTGGTCATATCTTGATGGAACTGCATCTCCTGTTCTCTAGCGAGCGTCTGGAAGCTCACGTTCTGTTCCTTTGCTCGCTTGATAATCTTGTCATCTACGTCCGTGATGCCCATGACCAGCTGCACCTTGTAGCCCCCTGTACGCTCCGCCACACGACGGAGAATGTCTTGACTGACATAAGCTCGAGCATGTCCCAGATGCGCCTTATCGTACACGGTCGGGCCACACGCGTACCATTTCAGTACATTTGGAGTAACAGAGGTCTCTCGCGGAAAAGGCTCGTATTGACCAGACAAGGCGTTAAACATTTTAAGATCTCGAGAGGTAGTTGAGAAAGGATAAGAGAAGGTGGAGAGAATGCAAAGACTTGGAACTGACGACGATGGACGCAGAGAGACGCATGGGAACGAATGGCGATGCAGGAGGAAGCGCATTCGTACTGCTATTGCTGAGCTATGATATGTGGTGTGGAAGACATGAAAATAATAATGGCTACAGACCATTTGTCGTTTACTTTAACAAAGCAATTTGATAAATACTTGAGCTCTATTACACTGTAGTTCTATATGTTAAATATACAGTATAATTTTGCACCGCCACTTCAACTTGCTCCATAGTAAAAAACCGTCTCTTTTCGTGCGGCTATATTTCGAGCTTAATTACTATCAAGGGGTTTTCGTTATTTCGACATTGTAATAAAAGACAGTGTTCATTCCGTCACCCCCATGGCCCTTCCCGCTCCGTGGCTGTCGTACAAGACACAGGATGGCAAGGTAAGTTCATGACTATCAACTTGTTGACCTTGTACGATAACTAGTGCTTTTCTTCCTGACTTGTCACTTAAAGTTGAATGTCGGAATAATTCTTCCTTCTCATCGTAACCTCTAAACCAGAATTCTAATGGGTGGTATTTACCCCTTATAGGAATATTACTACAATCCAGAGACAAAAGTTACGACATGGACACGGCCTTCCAGAGGTTCCTCATCTTCCAGTAAGACACCGCCCAAACGCGAGCACCACAAGACTAACAGCTCTCCAGCTCTAGGGGCCGAACGAGGCGGCTTGCTAGCTCAGATTCAACAAGGAACAAATCTAAAGAAGGTCAAGACGGTGGAGAAAACGCTGTTTGCTGGTCATCCAAGTGGTGGCAGTGGTAAAGGAACAGGAGCTGGAGCTGGAGCTGGAGTTGGAACTGGAGCTGGAGTTGGAGCTTCTGCACCAGCTGCTAGTGGGGGAGGTGGCATGGGGTCGATGATGGCGGCAATCAAGTCTGGCGGAAATTTGAGGAAGGCTCCAAGCTCAAGTATGCAAAAAGAAAATATCAGTGGCGGTGCTAGTGCCTCGAATGGCGCGGGAGGCTTTGCGGAGATCATGCGGAAAAACCGCGAAGCTGCTGCGCGGAGATCCGGGGGCGGTTCGGCCCCATTGACGCAAAATGGCAGCTCGGCACCTTCAACGCCACGGCAAATGCCTTCAGCTCCAAGTTCGGGGGGCTACGAGAATGGCAACAATTCGGTAGAGATACGACTAGCAGCGATTGAGAGCAAACTTGACAAGATCATGGCACATCTAGGCATTAATTAGCAGGTTTGAATTTCTATTGCAAACATCAGCCACGTTGGAGGTACAATGCTTATCAACAAGTATAGCATTCGATGAAGGATGAGATTGAAAGGCTTGGCTTATGGTTTGTCGTAGTCATTGTGGACACAAGTGCTGATCACGACTTGAGCTGTTAGTGCCAACATGAGTGAAATCAACAAGACGAACAAGCTGCCTGTCAAACCTTTTCAACGCTCTACTATTCTCTTCATCTAGCTACAGACTTGGCTGTAGCTTACTTAACCAAAATGCATGGCCATTTCCTGGAGTGACATTGTTTTCTTCTTTTGCTTCTTCTTACCATTGCTTCGACCGCCATGAGAGGTGCTTGGACCACGGTCCTGTGCTATCGCCTGCACCTGGTCATCCCACGTCGCACGTGTTACGGGCTGCACGCCAATCGGCTTGGCAGCCTTTGGCAACTCAGGAAAGTCGCTCTTAGCGGTCTTAAAACTGGGTACTGCAGGAGGCACAGTATTCTGGCATAGCTCTGGAGTCCGGGTTGACGCATATGCCGAAGCAGCAGCGTCGTGTCCAGCCGACAATGATGATGACGATGAAACACTAAGACTAGTGAAAGCGTCGACCAGAGCGCTCTGAGGCTTGGTACTCGTAGAAGATGTAGATACGCGAGGCACGGCAGGTGGTGGTGCCTGCCAGCTATCAGACGAACTCCACTGTGTGGTTGGCTGAGTATCTCGACCTAATATTGAGCGCATATTCGTATTATGCACAATTGCAGAGGGCTTCCGCCCCATAGCCGTTTTCACGCCACTCTCCTTCATTGCATTTCCCCATCCAGACTGTGACGGTGTCGGTGGCTGGCGGTTGTTATTTTGGCGCAAAGTTGGCGCCTTTTGTTCCGTTTGAACTCGCTGCTGTTTGGTAACCTTCTTGTTTCGCTTCGAGGTCGACTCCTGGAAACCATTGGCGTGAACGCGTTGTTGTTTCTTTATCTGTTTGTGATATGCAAAGAATGTGTCGACTTGCTCCTTGTCCGGAGACAGTCGCATCAGCGGTAAGAAAAGCTGTGAAAAGTCTGCAGGCGAGAGCAAATCACGCATTTTGGCGTAAAAAGCTGAAACTTCCATCTCACCCAAGCGAAATCGCTTGCAATCCTCGCGAAAGACTTCGTACTTGGCATCACTACCCAGAACCTGGCGGATCTTGAGCACAACTGCAGTCTTAGATGGTGCTGAACTCACAGATTCGTCATCTTCCGACTCGGACTCATCTTCCTGAAGTGCAGGAGCGGAGGCGGCCAACTTCTCTTCGAAGCCGCCGCCCGACTTCCGGCCTTTCTTTCTTCCTTTATTATTCTTTCGAGCAGGCTTCAACACTCCGAGCAGCGGATTGTTTGCGCCTAACACTGCGGCAGCCGAAGCCAAATTTGGATTCTCGTACTCCCACCCGTTGTTGTTCATGTGCGCGCGCAAAGCTGCCGAAGGTGGTGGGGCCAGTACGTTGCGGAATGTCGAGCCAGATCTGTTCGCAGACGAGCTTGATGCTAGTGCCGGGAAGTCCTCGGATGTCGCGCGGCGAGACACTGCTTGGTTATCCCACAACGAGAATGACGGTCCTGCGGCGGCGCTGTCTGACCCTGAAAGTGACGGAAAGTCTGCGACATTGATCGTGTGGTTTCCCGTCGACTGCTGGAACAACCTCGGGTCTTGAAACTGCTCTTCATCTCTCTGCGATGCCCGACGGACCGTGAAATGTACGTCGATCTTGCGACTCGTCCGAATATGCGGATGGTCGACTGTCAAATGTGCCTGGAGATCCAAATGTGTCTTAAAGACGACAAACTTTTTGGCTAAACACTCTCGTTCTTCACATAAAAAGTGATCAGCTCGAAAATGATTTTCCAAGTCGTTATAGTCCTTGTAGTATCGGTTCTGGACATGTAACTGATACAAACAGATATCGCACTCAAAATGGTTTTTTCTCAAATGGTCGTACAGTTCCGTCGTTGAATAAAACCTGGAGAAACAAAAATCACATTTTGGGTGGCCCATAAACCCTTCTCTTGGCATCCCTTTGGTACTGTGTGTCTTGACTTGATCCTTTGTAAATAGCTCCAGCTCTTCTAGAAACACCTTCTTATGTTCCAGACAAGTGTTACAGTACTGCAACCCATGCACATCCAGCACATGGGTCCGCAAAGAAGCCACCGTCGTAAATTTCTTGCCACATTTCTTGCACCAGGGGTCCCGCAGCTTCCGAATACGTTTCACATAATCTTCCTTTAGGAAAAACATAGCAGATGCGTCGTCAAACACGTGTGCCGGACCGATATTATCTCCCCAGTCTTGAAATGAATCAAAACTCTGTTCTTCGCTTGTCACACACACGACACGCGGCATGTCCGTCTTGCACATGACGCACGTTGTTTGACCCAATAATTGACGTAGACGCAATGCACAGATACTACAGCATCCAGGATGATTGCATACACCGACAGTATTATAGCGCGATATGTTGTCAATTGTATTGCAGCATAGCACGCATGAAGAGGAGGTGGACTCGGCCATGATCAACGGAGAGTCTGCTTTGGTTGGCTAATATTAGAATGAGAAGCTATTGTTACCAAAATCTAACAATGAATTTCTAAACGATAAGAAAAAAAAGTGTTGGGTTTCTAAACGACCAGGGGTCTCTTTTTGAAATTACAAAAATAACCTAAACGTGATCACGTGGCTCACGCGATTACTCTTGACATGCTGCGGACAAGACGTCATTCAAATGTGACTCCATTATTCCAGTCTCGTTCCATGGGTGTCACTTTTTCTTTCAAGCCTTTCTTTGCAACGTTATGGTCGTCTTCATTGCGTGCTCAGAACGTAAAACCGACACGTTCGAGACCTTTCAAAGAACGTGGAGGAGGTCGATGGCGCGATGAAAAACGTCGTCCTCCTCTCATGCGCACAAACGATGGAAAGGACGTCCCGCAATTGGCAGGAGAAGGTGTTTATGGCATTCACAGTGTGTTGCAGGTGCTAGCGAGTGGTCATCGGGATACACACGCTCTGTATGTGAAAGAGGAGCGTTTCCCGTCGGACGGACACTACGCGCAGAAGAAAAATGTGGCGAATGTGCGAACTATAGAACGCATTAAGGAGTTGGCAAAGATCAATGGGGTGGAGATATACAAGACAAGCAAGTGGATGCTCAATCATATTACAGGGGACAAACCACATCAAGTTAGAGGAGAAGTTTGTGGTAAAGGATCTCTACCTATGTTGTACTGATATTCGTGATTTTCTTTTTGATCCAGGGTGTTGTCCTTGATGCTGCTTCGATTCAATTGAAAGAGTTTGTCCCGGCAACTCCATCAGGTTGGTGATATCAATGGAGTTTATGTATCATTATACAGTTGTTTATTGCCTTTGTTTGTTTGCATGTGTTACAAGTATTCACCAAATCAACACGAGCGCCAGTGATTTTAGTGCTGGACGAGATTCATGATCCGCAGAATTTAGGAGCAATCCTCCGTTCTGCGCATTTTTTAGGCTGCACGGCGATTGTTGTGAGCGACCAGAACAGCGCTCCATTGTCTCCGGCCGTCTCGCGCGCGTCAGTTGGTGCACTGGAAGTCTTGGTTGCTAATGTAGGTTCGTGTCACCTTCGCTTTTACTTTTGCTGATATTGACGACAATGATACTGCAGGATAAGTTGCTGAAGGCAAGGAATTTGCATGAGATTCTTGTAGTCAGTGGCGACCTCGGCTGGCGAATCGTTGGTGCTAGCAGTGGACCTAACTCCATTACATCCTCCAAGCTCTCAGATTGCGCCCAACCCACGATTCTTGTCATGGTAAGCTTACGGTTGTATGTAGTTGCTAAGACGATAAAAAATGAATGTCTCTGACGCATGTTTGATTGTTGGCTCGTCATAGGGCAACGAACACCGTGGACTCCGCAAGGGTATCCGCCAGTGCTGCCAGGAGATTGTCACTATTCCAGGTATATGCGCATGGTATGCTTAAAAGTATCGCTTGAAGTGTTTAACACGCCATCGCATTCGACACAGGGCAGGCTACGGACGACGACACATGCGTGGACTCACTCAACGTCAGCGTTGCGTCCGCGATTCTACTATACGAGCTATTGCGCTAGCAAGCACGATAACATGTCCTGAGAGTACGACAACAATTTCTTGCTCTCATGGTGCAGTCGACAACTTCGCCTGCCTCAATGTATAACTTGTGCGGTGGAAGATAGGCACGCGAACAGAAGCAGATATCTCTGTGAACATTTGGGGACTTGCTTCGCCAGATCCGGGAACATACTGCTTGCATAGTAACGTCAAGTTAATCGAAAGTCAATCATCCCCCCTCATACATACTAGTAATATGCACGTCTGCATACCTTGACACTGCCGGGCAATGTTGGATGACCGAGACACACTGCCACAACGAATGCGGTTGGATCTGAAAATGGCGATACTGTCAGTCTGATCGTGTGGTCGACCCAGTGTTTTCGAGGTCCTCGAATGTGGATGCAATTTGCTGGCACATGATGGTACGCCATATTGCCATTAGGGAGCACGCTCTTGATGTATACCTGAGTAACATTCCGGACGTTTGTCAGCGAAAAGCGTATGCGCTGCTCAAACGGCCAGTTTGCTGTTACTTCTCGCGGGTCTGGCTTGGTACTCGCGCGCGAAGTGATTTCTTGAATTGAGGCGAGCGCGATAGCCACATGTTGGTAGCGGCTACTACCTAAACCGCTCGTCAAAGGTTCATAACGAGAGATTGCGGTTTCGATTAGCGCCGCAGGCCACGCCTTACGAACGATAGCCACGAAGGCACGCTTCAGTTCGTTCAGTGATCTTACTTCCGACAACGACTGGATCGGTGACCAAACATCGTCTTGGCGCTGATTGTCGCTCACAAGAAAGCACAGCCGAGTTGCCTCTTCGCCGACCCAGCGCAGATTTTCAATAGTTTGAAGACTATCGGTGGAGTTTTGCAGTGATGCAAGTACAAGACCTACGCGGCCAAGCAAGACGAGCTAGTGTACACAGAAAGATAAAAATATTAGTAGCTATGAGAGACAGCTCAACAGTTTACAAATAGACACACAAACCAACCTGTAGCAGCTCCATGCGGGGCAATAAACTCAGAGCAAAAGCTTTGACGTAGAGACCTGAGGCAGCATCAACTATTTGTTGACATCCTTTTTGCAGGTCCATTAAAAGATATAGATGGGTAAATGCTTGTGCTTCGTCCTGGTCTTGACTCCCCCTGCTACTGTTGTTCGTGTGTCCAGAGGTCACGCTAGGACTAGTACTGAGCATAGCCTTCATTGATACATACTTGTGTACCGGCGTTGGCGCAGCTGATGCATCAGGAAACGATTGCACGTATTGGCGCAAGCGAACAAGGATATCCGCAAGTCTAAACGAAACGTCAAGGTCATCTGTGGCAAGCGCTGTGCGAAGTCGACAAATCTACATAGATGCACAAGTACATTAGCCGCTGTTAAACAAATCATACGAATGATGGGGTCAGGAGCTCACCGCTTTCAGATAAATAGCAACAGTTCCGTCCGATGGAGACATCCGAAGGGTTTTCATAGCACTGACCGCTCGAGTGGACACACTACGGGGCTTTTGCGAGAATTGAGGCGCCTCCGACGGCGAACGACTGAGAAAGAACAAGCTAGATCCGTCTGATGGAGGCTTAGCCTTGTCAGTACTTGCTGATATTTCGCTATTTGCGCGCCCCGTTTGGCCAAGTAAAGCTTGACAGACGCGCCGTAATAGACGGTGTTTGCTGTTGTGATGAGATATCTCCCGTTGAAGGCGGTCTGACAGGGCAACGTCCGCTTGCAGCACTTTGGCGCACTTATTTTTAAGCGATTGTATCGTGGCAAGAAGTCGCTCGTTCCAGTAATGTGCATCCTCGTCTATGTCATCGTCACGGTCGAACAAAGGTGAAGCCGCAATTTCTAGTACGAAGTCAACAAAGCGCTGGACTGCCCAGACACTTGACAAATCGCAATACTGAAACACGAGCAAGGTTCCGATCACTGCGTCTTTGCTAATGTCTGCACTTGAGACAGCACAACCAACCAGACAGCTCAAATCAGTGCTGGAAATGGTGAATTCTGTCTTAGTATCGACCCTATGCCGGCACGCTAGCAGGCAACCCAATGAGTTTACCAGCACGCGACACAGCTGCGCAACGCTGGATATCCTTGCACGTGGTAAAATGTCGAAATGCGCCGTAATGGCGCGCTCTAACACTCGTTTGTTCCACTGCCCAGCACCCGCATCAGGAGTTGTCGCCATTTCACTTAATCTAGCAATGGTACGCGAGGCTTCTGCAGACACATTGATGTCGACATCCTCCAAAAGGGATAGCAACACACCGCTAGACATCATACGGCGTGTGTTCATCTCCACAACTTCAGGTAACACATCAATCACCGCTTCGTCGATTTGTGTTTTAATCAAAGCGTGTTCCACAACATCGCTTCTTAACACCCGAGAAAATTGACGCAAACACCTTGCGACTTCAGCCCGCATCGCGTCCTCCGTATCATAGCCAGCCATGCACAATACATAAAAGGTTTTCTCTGGCAAAAACAACGGCATCTTTGCCGTAGTAACAGACGTCGACGATGGGAAATACTTGCTACTACCAGCTTCATATTGCGAGTGCCGATTCGCCAACGCCATGAGTACTTGAGCCGCCAGCACTTTCACTTCGTCGCTTTGTGCAAACAACACAAAGGCCGTGAATTGGTCAAAATACTCTGCTACAACATCAACTGTCCCAGGAGTCGGAGCCATTTCTGCAAAGCACCGTCCTTCGTCATCCAGTCTCAAATATCCACGCAAACAGATGATCTGCATGCCAGTGTCGTGGTCTTTCACACACGTATGCAGGAGCTTCTCAACCTGTTTGTACTTTTTCGTAAGCATGAGGCAGTCCATGACGATGCGCATCATATCTCGACGGAGCTTAAAGTCTTCAGCCACACTCATACACTGCATGAGCTGCTCGCCCATGGCGTCCACTTGGATCATGGGCTCCACCACAGCAGCTTTGACAGCCAATAGCTGTCGAAGGCCTCGTACAATGGCGCCCACAACAATAGCTCCGCTACTACGGGTGTCTTTATTGGTCTGATTTCCATCGGTCGGCGTCTCCGACTGCGTCTGATTTTGCTGTAGGAACGAGAAGAGAAAGTCAATTGCTGCCGCTGTCATGGCCCCCGGAGATGCTGCAACTGAGCTGTATTGTAGCAGAAGACGGGCTTGTAAATGAGGGTCTGAGGTACTTTGTAACTTGGTGCGGATGGTATCCAGGACAGCCATGGGGTGAGGTGTTTCAAAACCTTTTACTGACGTTGTTATGAGACTTTGGGAGACGGGAATTACATCAGAATAAAGAGAAGACGTAGGAGAAGAAAGGCATGGTCGCTTTGAGTTTACATTGGCTGCAACTTTCGCACTGTCACCATCTGAAGTCGACCTTTCCCATTCCCGTGCACGCTTGCCTACCGAGCTCATTTTAGTTAAAAAATGGGTCATGAAATATGGGAATACAAAAAAAAGAGTATAAAAAACTAATGACATGGCTACCTTTGAAAATGGCTGCACTTCTCAATTTGCCAACTAATCGTCGTATCTTTATTAGAAACCCCTCTCTCAGCCGTCCATTTCTTATCAATTGTCGTGATGACGAATCCAGCTGCTTCCCATCTCCTGTTCCTTTCGATCAGTCGGCCCCCGTCGCTTTTGACCCGGCTCTCGATCCTGAAATTGATATTCAGCCTGGGGCTACTGTTGCCACGGGTCTCGATGCTGGTTCTTGCGTCGTCGGCATAGAATTCGCTATGGTGGCGCTTTCTGTCCCGTCGTCCTTGGACGCGTTGTAGTCGCCTCCTTTACACACTCTTCCTGCTTCTCCGCCAACGCTGTTTTCTGACGTTACATTCTCCTCAGACGACGCCGATATGCCCAAATTCGTCGTGTCTCCGGTACTTCCAACCGACAGCATTGTTAAGATGACCCCGGCGGTTGTCGTCAAAGTTTCATGTAGACGGGCACTTCCAAAAAAATGCTGCGAGCACACACATTCGAGCAGCGTGAGGAAGCGGTTAGACCGGCTTACGTACGCGTGCGGTGGTGGTGGTGTTGGTCGGCGCTCAAAGCGCAATACCAACTGCCGCCGGTCGCTTTGAAGAGAACTGCGCAGCGAACAACTAACAAGTGTCTTACTTACGTCACGCAGAAGCTTATTCAGCTTCTCGTGCGCAGTAGACGGTAATTAGTAAACTTAATACTGACTTATATATGATAGAAATTAACTAAATCTAGCTACTGATTGGTTAAATGTAAAGATCGGACACGCGTCTCTTTAGAATAGTATCCTTACGTGCGAGCTTAAAATTATAGTTAAGATCGCTTATGACGTCCATCTAAAGCATCACCATGACGCCTAGTTCCAACTGGGCGTCGTCCCCGTTGAATGTGAATCCATCCTTGGATATCACATTCGCGAGGGTGGGCCACATTGATGTGGCGCACCCAAGTGGCAGGACACATTGATGTGGCACACCCAAGTGGCAGGCCTAAGGTACCTCGTTCCGTTTTAGGTCTGACCGTTAAGTATTCAATATTTAACGAATCATGTAGTCTTTAGCCCGTTACACCATCCCCCTCTTTATACCGATTTTTACAAATAAAGAGACAATGCCACCGAAACGTGGAAAGGCTGATGGGTTGACTGCAATGGCGCCCATGCAGACCAGCACAAAGCGTACGCGCCGCGATAACTCGCAGCCGTCGCTAAGTGTCTCTGTGACAACGCCAACACCTAATGTCAGCTTGTCAACAGAGAACACTGGTACATCCCACTATGGTGCGGATGAAGACTTGTCTCTCATTGATGACTACAATGAAAGCACGCCATTACCATCAGCCCAAAGCGATGATAAGCACAGTGCATTGACGGGACATATGTACCCATCATTTGAGGCACCCAACCTTCAGGAAGCTTTCACGCTTCCTGACGGCGAGGTTTATGCCTCGTCGTCTGCGCCAACGAGCAGCGACCAAAACTGAGCGCGCTGCTTCAAAAGAAACAGCCGCGACTCAACAGCAGGTCGGTGATTATGAAACGTCCGCCTCTGTCAACCCTACGTCTGACGTCTTGACAATCCATAATGAAGAATTAGACTCAGGCGAGGGTGAGCTAAAAGCTCCTTCGACTCAAAGTCTGCCTCGCTAGCTCGCCGTCACGAGGGCGGTTACGTGAGTGATGGTTTGCCACGAATGTCACCACCATCCAAGTAGTTACACTCGAGTGGTTTTAGTGCAGAGCTCTTAGAGCGTGCCACTATTGACGCTAATAAACTCTTTAGCGTCTTTCCATCATGGAAAAGACAGGGCAAAGCACTAGGTCGTGCTTTCCTCATCTTCGTCATGTAGCGTTCTTACGAAAAAAACCGACGAATACGAAGCAGAGTTCCTGCGCCGTGTTTAAACCGCATATATGCGTTGAACCAGCGGTCGCAGCGAATCAGCTTCGCTATGACGCGCGCGAGGGAAGTATTGGGTGGTCACATACCCCCAGTTCCTCTTCGTCACGCTGCCCCTGCTACTCCATCAGGATCTAGCAGAGCGAGAGCAGATGGTGCTTCTGCTCGTAAGCAGCCACCAGCCCAGGCACGTAGATACGCAACGCGTCGATCGGTTTCCAAGAGTCGAAACTCTTCGGGTATCCCTTCCACTGGAAAAGGATCTCAATTTGTTGCTTCACATGGCGGTGGGCCAACAGCCTTCCAACAAGGAAGCGCGTGTTCCCACCCGCATCCACCAACACAGGTGGCACCCGGTAGGAGCGGAGATTACGCCCAAGTATTCGCGAATGCCTACCCTGCTGGGCTGTTCAGTCGCAGGATGAGACGGCTGCACTGAAGAGGCAGGTGACAGATCTCGAGAGTCAAGTCTCGCGACTGACTTCGGATCTGCGCGATGTGAGGGCGAAGGATCGTCAGGTGAATGACCGCCTGAAACTTCGTTTGGACCTTTTGGAGGGACTGATGATGAGAGACATGCGTCAATCGCGAAGTCCTCCTCAATCGCCGAGTGCTCTATCGCCTCTTTCGTATACGAGGAGCCTATCGGCTTCCTCGTCGCTTGATCGGCCGCGACGCTCGGCTCACAGTCGACGTCACCATCGGTCTCGTTATGCTGATGCGGACATGTGAAATATTTTGGATCTACATACCGCTCCAGACGGCCCACGTAAAATACGGGGTGCGTCTTCATATACGGTAGGAGAGTGAGCCTATAATTTAGGTCTCTAACTTCTTCAACCACTGTAAAGGTCCCAATGAATCGGGGCAATAGCTTAGTAGTACCACCAGGTACAGAAATTGCATGTTTAGGTAGGGTAGCAGTACTTAATAGCACTTTGTCCCCAACACTAAAGTGTTCACTGTTTTTGCGACCATGTTGGTCCACATATTCTTTTTGCTTGTCCTGTGCGCTTGCCATCGCGTACCGGACTTTACGTGTGATGGCTAATCGCTCATCCACAAAGCGCTGAGCTTCGCTCACGCTTTTAGCCTCCAGTCTCCGATGACGCCTCCAAGAGGTCGTTCATGGGTCGACGCTGTTGATAACACTATAGTGTCATCATCAAGGAGCACTGGCATTTCTTGCCGTGCCTCCTCTGTAACACCTATAGGTGACGTGACAACTGCTCAATTAGCAGTGTCACTAGGGCAATTTTGACCCTCCTTGGCATTCGCACCGAGCGAAGTGAGGGGCCCTCCCCCATTAAGACTCAGGCTGTGCACGAATGAGACTGGCGTTCGAGGATGACGCAGTTCGTTTATGTAAAACGGTGTTTCACCGTACCGGCGTGAACACTGCTATTAATAGCGAGCTCCACGAATGGCAATTGCTTGCTCCATTCCTTAGGAGTCGCTATTGTAAGCAACACATCCGCCACGACTCGATTGGCCCGTTCTGTTTGGCCATCGGTCTGAGGATGATCGGCTGTTGACATGTGGAGCTTGATTCCCAGCAGCTCAAACACAAGTCGCCAAAAACCCGACGTAAAACGCGGATCCCGGTCCGATAGTGTAGTCATACACGTGATCCAGAAACAAGAGGGCAGACTCTTTTCCTGAGATCTTGGTGCTACATGGTGCCAAATGCACCATCTTGCTCAGTCTGTCTACAAAGACGACGAGCCCCGTCTTGACTTTATGGCCAGGCGGTAAGCCAAAGTGACCGACTTCCAACAATCCGTTTGAATCGGCAGTAGTTTCATTGGCGCACTGCTAGAAGGTGCAGCTTTATGCGCTGACACTCTTCGCAAGATCGAATACTGTTGGCTACCCACCGGTATAGGTGGGGCCACCAAATTCCTGTGACACTCGTAAGAATGTCTTTTCACGGCCTAGATGCCCACTAAATGGCGCATCATGGCACTCGTGAAGTATCATCAGCTTGAGATCTGTGTCATGAGGGACATAGATTCTAAATGGATCACAAGGTGACAGGTGATGCCATAACAGGCCATCACTGCAACTAAAGCGATTAAGCTTCGCTTTTAGGTGCAATGGAAGGGTAACCTTTCGTCCACCAAATTGATCCAACAGTAGGCGACAATGTTCGTCCTGACTGTAGCACTCCTTTATATCGGAGGCCATTGAGCTCGTCACATGGTAGTCCTTTAAGGCTGCCAATGTTGACGACTCACCTTTTGCTTCCGCACGAGACACAATTTCCTGGTGTCTTGCCTCGAAGTCTGGTCTGCGCGATAACTCGTCAGCCAAGACATTCGACTTACCCGGCTTATATTCAACTTTAAAATATAATGTAGCGAAGAATGTTAGCCTTCTCGCCATTCTCGGCGAGAGGTGCGGTGAATTTATAGCGGTCCGCAGTGATGCGTGAGCCGTATAAACCACAAAAGGTTCGGTGCCCAAGAGGTGCACACGAAACTTTACAAGGGAATACTTACTTGAAAGTAGCTCCTTGTCATGCACAGGGTATTCAGCTCTGCAGCTTTCAAAATCCTAGACTGATACGATATAACACGGTCAACGCCCCTGTCATCCTTCTGCATAAGCGCGCTGCCGATTGCAAAATTGCTTGCATCGCAGACGATGCTAAAGGGCTTATCCGCGTCTGGCAATGCCAAGACCGGTGCCTCTACAAGAGGTCGCTTTACTGATGTGAACGCATCATCTTGATCCTTTGACCAAGTCCAGTCTGCATCCTTTTTCAAAAGGTCAGTCAATGTCTTAGTCTGCTCCGCATAATTCTTGCTGTACTTATGCAAGTAATTAGCGAGCCTAAGGAACTGGCGCAGATCCTTCACACGACGTGGGACTGGCCATTCCTTACAGCCTTTACCTTTTCTGGGTCTTCTCGTACACCATGTGTACCTACGATGCAGCCCAGCACATGTATCTCGGGGATCCGTATTACGCACTTTTGCAATTTAACGTAAAATTGGGCGTCACCCAGAGTCTACAACACAGCGT